AGCAAAACTTACATATTACGTTATAGCATGAGATCCAGACATTACAAGGAAGATTAATGCATGCAGCAACTTACAAGCATCTGATAGAGTCTAAACACATTCTTACAAGTCTAACACCTACGTTGAACAATATTAACATACAGGTGAGCTGGTCTGGTTTCCAGCTATGAATTTATCAGCTGATGGCTACAGACTTGGCAAGAGCTGGCACGGGGTTTGCCAGTGACACACCCACATCATCAAAAAGGGCTGGACACAAGCTCCCTGAAGAACTTATCAGCGCAGCTTTTTCATCGAGCCAGAAGGGATTGAGACATCTCAGTATGCTGCCTTCACAGCTGTCAAACTCCAGTTGCACCAGTTGTGTTTCATGCTTCTCCTTGACAAGAGCAGATTTAGTTCCTGGTGTTTCCCCTATGGAAATGGGAAGCCTGTTTTCTCATTGTTTTTCACAAGGTTTTTTGCACCTTAGTTAGAAATATCTAGTATTGGCCAATGCAGATTTATTTCCTGGTGTTTCCCTATGGAAACAGGAAGCCTATTTTCTCATGGTTTTTCACAAGGTTTTTTGCACCTTCGTTAGAAATATCTAGTATTGGCCAGTGCCAAGGATCATGGTCTAATTCACAGTACTCCGGATACTGCTCTGATCAAAGATGGCAACTGCTGTGTTCTTCTCTCTAGGCACAGCGTGGCTTTGTTGTGGTGGTTGTATATTAAAAGCGGCAGCTGTTGTTAGAGGTGAGGATGCTGGAAATGAGAAGCATAGTGTCCTAATTACCTATGGCAGGGAAAACATCTGTGCAGGAAAAGTAATGAAATTAATTCCAGAGCTTAGCAACTGAATACATTAATTAACATTAATTAATGCTAAATTACAAGGCGCTTCCTATGGAATCGCATAAAAAGTCCCCATGAACAGAATGCCAAAAGAGATTGTGTTTAATGTTGACACAAGGTAAAGAAGAATGATTGGCCCTTTATTGTGATGTCTGGTTCCCTTTATGTCTGGGCTCCAAGACAAAGGAAGTTTGGCTGGAGTAAAAGAATATGCATCTCATGCTTTGGTCCATTGACCGCTAGAGTTATTTAGTCTGAATGATGACTTCAGGGGGTTAGCCGATTATTAGTAGTTAGGAGCATTTTGCAATGACAGCCTGCAGTCCTTCCCTGTCAGATCTGATATACGTGCCTATAGCCAAGCCAGCTACAGGCTGGATTGTCTTAGAACAGTGGTCAATATGTGCACATGCTGTAGCAGAGAGCCCGTTCAGCTGGAGCTAAGAACTCTTTAGAATAGTCTCCCCCTGCATGCGAGAGAGCTTGCGACTCTGGGAGCAAAGCAGAAGTAGAAGGGAAGGAGTGGGTGTGGAAAATAAGTTGTCTTCACTCCAGAAGGTCGTCCAAACCATGGCAGAAGGAGAGCGGGAGAGATAGGGGCTACTCAAAGGAGTCAGCATTCGTAGGATCAGCAGTTCTGGGTAGCATGATCCTTGATCACATGGGTAGGGCTAAGCCAATGGCTAAAGTTAGGATTGGGAAGGAATTTTCCCCAGGGCATGTTGCCTTTTTGATGTGTTGTCTTCCTCTGGGGCTTTTGGTTGAGGCCATCTTTTATGATCAGGTGGGTTTATTTCACATGCTCAGTAATTGTAAGGAGGAAAGACCTCAACCTTTCATCGCCTCTGATTCTTTTCCTTCCTTTTCCTCTTCCTTCTGTGGTTTCCTGCTAACAGGGACAATGGAGAAATGACCCTGAAAAGGGAGATTTCTCGATTTCATTTGATGTGCTGGCTAGTGTGCATATCTACTATTGCCCCCAAGTGGCTGGTCTAAAGAAAATCATATTGCCGAGAACAAAAAGGTACTCTGATCATGCTATCTGGATTATATCAATTAGTCTTTTGTAATGAACTTCGAAAATGCAAAGAATTCTATACTGTATGGACTAATAATATTTAGCCCTTTAAATATCCAACGTGCTCTGCAAACATAGGCCCCAAATCACCCACAATCTAACTTTACTAAAGCCCATGGATTTGTACTCTGTGTGTCTGTTTTAAATAGAAGACAACATCCTTAGAAATAAGGAAAAAAAACTTTTAAATGACGGATTTAATTTTTTTTTAAAATGATTAAATAGAAAATGATGAAAAGCTAGCGGTTTCAATTTCAATGGAAAAAAATGTTGTTTCTCTGTTCAGAGGGACGTAATTATACCAAGCTAGGGACTATGCTACTCCAAAGAGGAAGATGATTAGAAGTACTTTCAAGATTAAATGCCATTTAGAGTTTGTCAAGCCAGTGCTAATGCTAAAATCCTTCTTTCTGTAAATGAGCTTTGTCCTCATACAAACTGCAACTGCTTAATTGAGCTGGAAAAGCCTAAATTTATGACTGAGATCCTGATTCTCCACTCTGGTTAAAGCTTTTAATCTAGGGGACTCCTACCTGGTACTTTACTTGACACAACGTATAGCTGGCAAGCCTCTTGAGATGTGGCCAGAAGTTCTCATGAGTTTGTGAGACTGCATGGCACAGGCTGGGTTAGTCAATCTGGGAGCTAGAGAGTCCAGAAGAACCACAGGGTTTCTCTTCTCCAGCAGCCTCAATAAAGAATCCCCTCTATAGTCATAAGAATGGCCATACTGGATCAAACCAATGGTCCATCAAGCCCAGTATCCTGTCTTCTGACAGTGGCCAGTGCCCGATGCTTCAGAGGGAATGAACAGAACAGGGCAATTTCGAGTGATTAATTGCCTGTTGTCCAGTCCCAGCATCTGGCAGTTGGAGGTTTTTCGGAACACCCAGAGTATGGGGTTGCATCCGTGATTATCTTGGCGAATACCTATTGATGGACCTATCCTCCATGAATGTAACTAATTATTTTTTAAATGCAGTTATAATTTTGGCCTTCACAACATCTCCTGGCAATGGGTTCCACAGGTTGACCGTGTGTTGTGTGAAGAAGTACTTCCTTATGTTTGTTTTAAACCTGCTGCCTATTAGTCATTACAACTGAGTCTATTGTGAAAGGCCCCTGATTCTTAAAAAGACTCAGGCACGTGCTTAACTTCAAATATATGGGTAGTCCTCTTGAACTCTGCGGATCTAGTCATGGGCTTAAAGTTAAGCATAGGGCTAAGCTTACATGGTCAGGGCTGTAGGCATTATACACCACTGTCCTCAGATGCGGCCTCCATCCTGAACACCTTAGAATGGAAGAGTGTTATGAAGTGAGATCAAGATAGCTTTGACAGCCGGCCTGAAGGCAAATGAGCTAAAATGCTGAACAATGCTGCCACAAGCTGGGGATAAGGAACCGAGGAGTGGCGGGGTGGAAGTTAGTGTCAGGGCTTTGTGCTTTACAGTCCATGTTTAGACTAGCCAAAGCCAGTTTACCCACCCTAGAGCCACCATACCAGAGGCATAGGGGGAATACAATAGCTGTTATGCCCAGGAAAGAGGGGGCATTATGATATGGCTGTGAAAAAAGCTAATACGGTCTTGGGATGCATCAGGCGAGGTATTTCCATTAGAGATAAGGAGGTGTTAGTACCGATATACAAGGCACTGGTGAGACCTCATCTGGAATACTGTGTGCAGTTCTGGTCGCCCATGTTTAAGAAGGATGAATTCAAACTGGAACAGGTACAGAGAAGGGCTACTAGGATGATCCGAGGAATGGAAAACCTGTCTTATGAAAGGAGACTCAAAGAGCTTGGCTTGTTTAGCCTAACCAAAAGAAGGCTGAGAGGAGATATGATTGCTCTCTATAAATATATCAGAGGAATAAATATCAGGGAGGGAGAGGAATTATTTAAGCTTAGTACCAATGTGGACACAAGAACAAATGGATATAAACTGGCCTAAACAGGAAGTTTAGACTTGAAATTAGACGAAGGTTTCTAACCATCAGAGGAGTGACGTTCTGGAATAGCCTTCCAAGGGGAGCAGTGTTGCCAAAAGACATATCTGGCTTCAAGACTAAGCTTGATAAGTTTATGGAAGGGATGGTATGACGGGATAGCCTAATTTTGGCAATTAATTGATCTTTGACTATTAGCGGTAAATATGCCCAATGGCCTGTGATGGGATGTAGATGAGTTACTACAGAGAATTCTTTCCTGGGTGTCTGGCTGGTGAGTCTTGCCCACATGCTCAGGGTTTAGCTGATCGCCATATTTGGGGTTGGGAAGGAATTTTCCTCCAAGGCAGATTGGCAGAGGCCCTGGGGGGTTTTCGCCTTCCTCTGCAGCGTGGGGCACGGGTCACTTGCTGGAGGATTCTCTGCACCTTGAAGTCTTTAAACCACAAGTTGAGGACTTCAATAGCTCAGACATAGGACAGGGGTTTGTTACAGGAGTGGGTGGGTGAGATTCTGTGGCCTGCGTTGTGCAGGAGGTCAGTCAAGAAGATCATAATGGTCCCTTCTGACCTTAAAGTCTGAGTCTATGAGCAGTGCTAGAAGACTGAAGTAGCACCTTGGGGACTGTGGGCAGCAAGAGGGTAAATGCACAGCTCTAGCATTGGCACAGAGATGTCCCCAGGAGGGTAGTTTGGGGCATGGGGGTTACTTGTAGCCATCTTGATGCGCATACAGCTCAGATGCACTGTGTGCTCCTCATGCACTGCTGAGGATCTGGCCCTGTCTGCTCCTCAGGACTATGTTCGATTCATTAGTTTACATTAGATTTGATTTAATTAGAGTGTAAGCTTTTGGGGGCAGGGCCTTTTTTTGTTCTGCGTTTGTACAGCACCTAGCACTGTGGGGTCCTGGTCCATGATTAGAGCTCCTAGGCGCTACCACATTATACATAAATAATATACAGCACCCAGAGCTCTGCAGGGACATATTTTAAAATAAACCAGCATCGGTAATGAAGGAATGGGCCAGGTGAATGGAGAGGAAAGCAAGAGCCTGCCACTGATACTGCAGCATTGGGAGAGATCTATGCCCTATAACTGAGCATTATTTTGTTTTGTCCTTATGATTTCAGATGCGCAGTACATCACCTGCAGGATGCAGAACTGCACCGAAGCCACCCGGAGCAAACCGTTTCCAGGTTACATTGACCCCGACTCCCTGATTGTGCAGGACGATTATGTGTTTGTTCAGGTGTGGAACATGCATTCTCTGATTGATTCCAAGTAATTCTCCTCCCTGCCCCTCGCTCCTTATATATACATACGCACGCAAACACACACAACCAAGCAACCAGCCCAGAGTGCCTTATAAAGGAGCTTCACAGAGTGCATCAGCCCATCAGAATGCTAATTGGTTCCTTCTGACTCTGTTTCAAGTATCTTATCAACATGAGGTCATGGAGGTGCTGCCTGGAGCATTCAGGATGCGTACTGGAATAATCCTCATTGCCAATCAACCAGCCTCATCATGCATTCCAGGAGTAGACCCTGTACCACTCGGCTTTAAGTTGGTGTGCCAGTCACTTGATATCACAAGTGCAGTAGACCAATCAAGGCTTTTATTGAGTGAGAGAAAGGAATAGAAGAGGGGAGGAGGTGATAGAGGGAAGGACTGGGGAGAGTAATCAGCCATTATTGTCATGCATGGACTACGATTATTGAGACAAGGATGGAGATGAGATGTATTCAGCCAATCTCTGTTCTAGGTGAGAGCCGGAGAATGCATCTGAACAGCCATGGGTTTCATTATCCTGCTGCCGCTGTCTATTTAATAAGAGAGTTGACGAAAAAAAGTGCAGGGACAGTGTACATGAATTGGAAATAATCTGGTTTCAGAATGCCTTCTGAGACCTTCAATAGTTCTGACTTGTTGGAGTGGATACCTGATCCTTTTGGGGTGGGTCTGGACTTGAGTCTGTGCTGCTGTTTTAACTTGAGTTAATTGATTGCTAATTGACTCAAGGTAACTAACACAGCCGTAAATGCTTGTTTAGATGGTCTGGTCCAGAATACAAGCATTTGTGGTTTACATTAGGATTTAACTAACATGGGGAGGTGTCTATACTAGCATTTATGTGTTAGGTAATGCAAATTAAAGCAGGTCCACAAAGTGTAGTGTAGACATAACCTTTGATTGCAAATCAGATACTGGTGCTAGTGGCAGGGACGGCTCAGTCGGTGGGAATCTTTCTTCCGTGTCATAACTGAATCATTGCTCGGGTATCATTGTATTGGTGGTGTGCTGCTGGAGTTGGCCTCTTGCCAATGGTCCAGCCAGATCCCATGGTGCACACGGTGACAATAGGCATGTTAATTCCACTCTGGCTAGTTACATTCTGCCTTCTCAAATCATCCTTCTCTTTAAGTAGGATACAGTGTATTTCAATTTCCTGTTTTCAACAGTTGAGCGGTGTTACTCTGTGCTTTTAATATATGCTGCATTCCACCCTAGAGCTGGCGGCATTTCAATGGTTGTGTGAAGAGACAACCTATAAAAACCCTCAGCAGCCAGGGGTATTATGAAGATTAATTTGTTGCTGTTTGTACTGTGCTGTGAGATCAGTTGGGGGAAAGACAGAAAAGAAGTATATTAAATTTAGGTTTTAAAGGATTTCATTTTAATCAATAAATGGTTGACTTTTCCAGCTGCTTAAAAAACTGAAGAAAAAATTGCCCATCCTTGATAACTTACATTTGCAGAAAGGAAAAAACAAACAAACCAAAAACATGTGCTTGTGGACATTTTTTTGCTGTCAATACTAGCTGTCAATCAATGAATTAGAGATGGATATTATGAAAGATAGTCATAATTTCATTTCTTTTATCTGTGGTGAATCATGACCTCTGTGTTCTTGGATCACTAACAATAATGCCTTTTAAAACACCCCACGATTGCAAAAAGTCTTTGTAAGACCATACTTAACATAAAGTTCTGCTCCGAGGAGCTCGGAACATATTGGTTCTTTGCGCGTATATTAGCACCTTCCGTCCAAGGATTTCAAAGTCTTTTATGACGACTGATTAATCCTCATGACATCCCTGTGAGTCAGGTTAACACGACCAGATTCTTTTTACAGGTGGGGAAAATGGAACACATGCAGTTGAACTCCAGCATTTTCAAAGTTGGGTTGCTAAAGTCAGGCACCTCAGTCCATGCTCAGGACCTATATAAATAGCCTGATTGTCAAAGTCTGACTTTGGGAGCTGTGGGTGCTTTGCTAGTCTGAATGTCAGGCCACTTATTTAGATGCTGAAGTGTGGTGACGTGCAAAGTCATACAGGAAGTCAGTGCCAGAGCTAGAAACGGAACCCACCGGTCCTACCTGGCAACCTGCTGATCTAATCACTTGACCACCTGATACCTCTGCAGGTAGCGAGGACCTGAATGTGCCACAGTAATCTGCAATATGGATATAAAATCAGAGGGTGAAATCATGGCCCCATTGAAATCAATGGAAGTTTTCCCCTGGCCAGATATTTTGTCACCTCCTGCAACAGCTGCTATGTTAAACCGTCGCTATCACGGTTTCATTCACCTTTGCAAACTGCCTAATATTTTCCTCCCGCCTCAAAGAAAAATGAAGGCTGATGATGGTAACCCTGGGTATAAAATTCCCTTTTATATTGCAGTTAACATCGGGAGGACGGCCACACTATTACGTGTCCTATAGGAGAAACACGTTTGCACAGATGAAGCTGCCAAAGTATTCTTTGCCCAAGGTATGTTGTTATTGCTGATATATTCACACTCACACACACAGCTCCCAGTCAATTCAGAGGTGACTGCTGCCAAGCGGTAACTTCAGAATGAGCTTTAATTAACAAAACTTGTTTTTAAAGAATATTTGAAAGCGGAAAAGAGCCTATGGCTGTGTCAGCATTTCAGTCAGTCAAGGACATCAGTATGAAATGTAGATTTGTGCTCAGGTCTGCGTAAATTGCTATTAAATTTTAATCAATTAACACCATTGGGGGCAGTTTGCCTTAACCCTCCCCCCCCCTCCCCCTGTGTGGGTCACTTTTTATGCTTTGCCTCGTTAGCAGATTTTAATGGGAGGCAAGCAAAGAGATGTTTTTTGTGTCTGCTCCGTATCTTACCTAATTAAGAACAATGGCGAATTAGCAATGGAGCCTGAAAGGATATGATTGCCTTATGGAGCTGGGTTTTTGAGAGACCTATCCAAAAAGTGTCAGTCTGGGGGGTGAAAAAAACATTCCATTCAGAAGAGGTCAGTGCTTTGCAGCCGGACTTCAAACTTCTTCTTAAACAAAAGGGAACCTCATTCTTAAGAGTTTTATTTCTTTCTCAGAACAATGTCATCTGCTTCAATTGCGTGGCCTGCTAGGTGGCTATCAATGGGTATGGCCTTCAAAGTTATATCTGGAATCAGAAGTTTAGGGCCAGATGTGGGTTACTGCTACACGGGGCAGTGAAAATCCAAATTCACAAGGTTCCTGGAACTCTTCCATTGTGGTTGGGTGGCGGTTTCGCCTTCTCTCTGGATCCCATCTCCTTAACCTGTAGATTCCCCCTGAGATGTGGGTGGGTCTTTAAAGGGATCTATGAAGGTACAGGGCTGTCTGCTGTGATGACCTCAAGGGCTGCCATACCATGGAATCCTCCTGAACTGCCCCAAAACATGTGTAAGCGGATCGATGTTAGTTACAACTAACCTGGTCAGCATTAATTTACCCACAAAGGACTTGCAGGTTTGGGTGTGTGGGTTGGGGGATGACGTCCCCAGCAATGTCTCTTCCCATCCCACAGCAAGTCCTTTTTCACAATGCAGAACCCAACCCCGTGCTGCACCCAAAATCTCTAGTCGCTTTTGCAAATCTTGGCCCAAGTATTCTTACATAGAATGAAACTCCAGCCATTCTAAAGAACCAGGAGGAATTATCCTATCAAGGCAGAGCAGACGTTGACTACATCATTGGCTGGGATGATTTAGTTGGGGACTGGTCCTGCTTTGAACAGGGGGTTGGACTAGATGACCTCCTGAGGTCCCTTCCAACCCTGATATTTTATGATTCTATGAAATAAGCGCTTATTTGAAACAGATGTTCCAAAAATAATTGGACTCTTTTCAGACAAGTGATTGTGATGCCCATGCAAAATGACCCTTAGAATTCCCACTTGCAGCTAGCTCAGACCATCTGTGATGAGATATTTGGTTTGCGTCGTGTTCCCGCTACATGTTTAGTTCTCCATCTGTCTGTCTTCTCTGAGATCTACGGAAAGCTGGGGAAAGTAAGTTATAATTAATTTTAGCCTATTGTAAATGAAATAGGAATTGGAACAGTAAGTGCTGTTGTTTCATCCAAGTCCGAGTGTGATATTTAAGGAGAAAAAGTGCTTCCTTACAATCTCATAACATCTTCAAAAGATGAAGAGCTACATTTGGTGTGGAAGGAGCTAACGGAAAAAATGCATATATTTGCGATGCTGCTATCAAAGCAGAAGAGCTGCCTTTATTAAAAATGTACAAAGCGCTGTGCTAGCCAAAGGAATGGAAACAAACAGCTCCTTCTATGCCGAGATTCTCTTTAATCTCTCTCAACTAAGAAATCGGGCCCAAACGCAGTAAACAGTGCTGCCAGTGCCAAACTCTCGAATGGCTCGTGGGATTGAGGAATGGAATACAGACTTTTTCACCTCTGCATCTGTCACCTCTTTCGAATTTGGACCTGGGAAGAGAGTTGCCACCTGACGGCTGGTGGCTTTGGTGACATGAATTGATGGGTTGCAGTCCAGCTTCTGTGGGCAGAGTTTATGTCATAAAACCCACAATCACTGCTGCCAGTAATTAACACTTTGGTTACCAGTCTGAGCAAAGGGCTGTGAACTCTTACTTGGTTCTTACCTGATAAGTTTGTCTTACCCTGGGAGATGGTACCTCTGGGACTGGGTTAAGGAACATTAATTGGTACAGTGAGAGGAAACCTTGAGTTGCCCTTCCCATTCTGTACTATGGCATCATGACCTGTAATAGGTGGCTCATGATCTCTCTAACAGAGTTCATCACAGAATAGCACAGGTACACCTAACAACATTTCATTGGTGCAGTCTGCTTAAACTCACCCCATTTCTAGACATACCTAAATCTCCGGCCATCAACTTGTGCTGGATCTGGAGTAGCTTAGTCACCAGCTGTAAACATGAAGGCAGACAAAGCAATGTGATTGTCATACAGTCAAGTCGTGTATATAGTTCCGAGTGTAATAATGATAGAAAGGTTCGGTGCTGTATTGCATTCCTGCTATTAAACTTGCCAAGAGGCAAAGATCCCCGACCAAGCGAGAAAAGGGCAGTCGCGTTGTGTTAACAATTCAGAAAGCTTTGGCCTTTAGACTTTCCTAGACACCCAATCAAATTCTCGGGCATAACATTGCTCTTTCTCTTGTCTGTGGAAAGACAAGAAGGGCAGGCACTAGACCGGCATGTTAATGTCCAATCCACCATGCTGTGCTGCATCTAGGGAAACTCTCTGACTGAGTCCCAAGAAGGGTTTGGACTAACACAGCACACAATTGATACATGTATGTCAGCCCCTGTCCATCATGTGCTTACCCTGTGCAGGCATATATAGGACAACAGACACATGCAGAGGCAAATGTAAGCTGACGTCATGTATACTTCCTTCTGGCCTCTGAAATGTGTATGTTATACCAATTTAGACTCACTTTATTTACACTCCTTTGGACTATTGGAACATCTGGACTGGAATCACAGGGTGTGATGCATCTTTAGCTGAAATACACAAGCTACATTTAATCTACCTTGCTTGGGCACCAGAGTGGTGAAGCTTCGGAGCGGGTTAGCACCACAAGTAACTACCCAGTGTTCTGGGCGGGCTTGGACAGCCCCAACTACAGCATGAGCTGCCACAGCTTGTCTACAGCTAGATTAAACCTAGCTCATGTGTGTCTACTAAAAATGCAATCACACCCTGTGCTTGCAGACTAGACATATCCTTAGATTCCCTTAGCCTTCATTGGATTTTCTCACTTACTGAGACTCACCCCTGTTTAGAAAGAAAAGTTTTCAGTGAATAAGTGACCTGATTAATTTCACCGGCATTCGTGAAATGGCCTTCAGCGTTCCCTAAAACCGGTCAGATATGGGGGGGGGGGGAAATCAGTATTGGGTGAATAAACTATTTGATCAAAAATGGTGCAATTCCTGAAAGAGTATATTTGCCAAATACTGTTTGAGCAGCTCTACTTACAACCTCAGTAATACATTATTTCTGAATTTGGCTGAGTGACTCCTAGTGCGTGTGTCTGTGTGTATACACATAAGGGACTCTTAGTATATGTCTACACTGGGGAAAAACTTGGGTTAGCTACCCCACAATAGTTAACTCAGATTAAAATAGCAGTGAGGACATGGTTTATAACTTTGGTTGAGCAGCTAGAGTTTAACTCCAGGTTCGAAGTTAAAATTTGAGTTGCTAACCTGAGTTAAAAGCTGAGCTGCTGTGTCTTCACTGCTGTTTTAACCCAAGTTAGCTAACCCCAGTTACAAACACACCTTTTTTGCCGTATACATACACCCTAAATCGTTGCAAGCCAGTGTGATTTATCCCATCTTCTACGTCATCTCAGAATGTAACCTTGTCTATTTGCCTGAAATACCAGATTATTTTGAGATGTTCATTACTGCAATGTAATTAAGCAAGTCAAAGTGGATATTCATCCCTCAGATATAAAATCTAGGGTGGAGGAACCAGTTGAGCTGAACTGAGCTTAACCTTTACTTGATATTTACCGTGAATATACTAAAAAATGGTTTTAACTGGAAGTTTTCTCCTCATTGTTTTTCACACTTCCATGTTTCAGCAAGAAGTGTGAAAACCCATCAGGACATTTTATTTGTGTGCTATTAATAGCATTAGCAGAAGCAAGAGGAAATATCATAGCCGAAGAAATCCACCTCTGATAAAATTCCCAGTTTTGCAGTCCAAAACGTTTGGCTGAGTTTCAAATAAGCAACCAACCTTTGGGATGTCGGTCCAGAGCAAGAGGGAACGTCCCCACCTTTTGAGGGTTAGCCAGTGCCAAGAAAACCTAGAATTTTTTTTTCTCCATAGATTTTTAAGGCCAAAAGGGAGCCTTCTGATTATCTATTCCAGCGGTTCTCAAACTGTGGGTCGGGACCCCAAAGTGGGTTACAACACCAGGGCTGGCTTAGACTTGCTGGGGCGTGGGGTGGAAGCCGAAGCCTGAGCCCCACTGCCTAGGGCCAAAGCCAAAGCCCGAAGGCTTCAGCCCTGGACAGCGGGGCTCAGGTTACAGGCCCCCTGCCTGGGGCTGAAGCCCTTGGGTGGCCTCAGGCCGTGGTTCCCTCCTCCTGGGGTTGTGTAGTAATTTTTGTTGTCACAAGGGGGTCGCGGTGCAATGAAGTTTGAGAACCCCTGATCGATTCCATCTGGGGGGCAGAGGTCATCTGTTTGTTATACGTTTGCACAGGGTGTGGCACACTGGGGTCTGATCCGTGACTGGGATTCCTAGGTGCTATGGCAATATAATTAATTAATTAGTAACATCAGAGGCCATAAAGTTTCACCAGCAGTTCTGGCATCTGTACATTTTTGAGAGACACTGAACTCCCACAAAATGCATAAGATGTGGCTGTTTTCTCCTCTTAGCTCAGTGATGTACAGTGATTTCCTTTTCAATCACATTTCACGTTTAAGATGTAGCAAGGGGGAAAAAACCCACCCGATATTATACACCACCCGTCCTCACAAATTGCTACTGTACAATAATGTGCTTAAAAGTGTTGCCCATGTGAATGTTCAATTAACACCTCCGCGCTTAATTACTACTTTGCATACAGGCAGAAGAGAGAACATGCAAAATATGCCGACGAGGGAATATGCTACTTGCAAGAATGTTGTCTACAATTTCTGATTAGATTCTAGAATGAATACAGCCCTTGATCTTCCAGGATTCAACCTGTGTTGACCTTGGAATTGATACAACTGAGTTGTCCTACAATAACATGCCTCTGTGTCCTTTCCCCAGGATATGCACGTTATCAGCACGGATGAGAATCAGGTGTTTGCAGCCGTGCAGGAGTGGAACCAGAACGATACGTACAACCTTTATATATCTGACACCAGAGGGGTCTACTTCACGCTGGCCTTGGAGAATGTCAAGAGTAGCCGCGGGCTGGAGGGTAATGTGATGATCGACCTCTATGAGGTATGTCACGAGTGCTAATGACGCAATCCCATCCTGGGAGTTCGCGCTGTTCCAATAACATTGTTTTTGTGATGAACGCACACAACCTTGTACCACAAGTGTGATTAGTGGAGACATTATGTGGCTGAACACCACCACATAACTTTGGACTGGTGCAATGCCTTTTATCCAAGGACCTCAAAGAACCCAGATTTTGTAGTGTTGTACAAGGTAGGCACAAAGTGAAGGTACAAAGAGGTTCAAGGGTGAAGGAGGTACCTCCATGTAAGATCTGGCCTCAACATTACCATACACTTAGGGGAGCCCATGCCAAACTCAACAGCTCTACAGCACCTTGCAGTTGCTACAACATTCACGACCTGGGAACCCCCTGGAGGAATTTTAGCTGACTCAGCCAGAATTCCTGCTGTGGAAACTGTAAAAGCCATAATCTAGTGATCACATAAAACACACAACACCCTGCCTAGGTGCAGTCCCAGGGCCACAGAGTCCCAAGGATGAGCGGTTTTGTGCTGCTCCTTTAAGAGTCACAGCCCAGAACTCATAGTCAAGAGGCGAGGGGGGAATGACCGCTTTAAGCCACCTGTAGCGCCCTTCTGATCCTGGGTTGCTCTGGGGACTGGAATGGCCCCTGGTGTTACTTAGACTCCCCTGAGCACCTATCTAGGTTATAACTACCTCCCTGAGCGGCCCAGAATCTCAGCAGAGTTGTGTGCTGAAGCCCCCCTAGCAGTTCCCTGTGCCAGACCTTGCAAAGGTGTCCTTAGAAGGCAGACTAGTAGCTGTCTTCTGCAGTGCCTAAAGGGTAGGAATCCTCCTCTGGATGGAACCTGGGCTTTTAGGGCCCCTTATGGAACTCTGGCTCATTTGCATGACACAAAGAGGCTGGAGTAGGGCGAGGTTCTCACCCTAGGTGTCCTACAGGTGGTTTCCCACCCTGCAGGATGAAATCTATTGAATAATATTGAGTCCTTGTAAAAGGGAAGGCACTTTTACCTGAATATTAACTCCATGAGCTGGACTGACTTTGAATATTGTGATGGGGCAAGGCCAGATGACTACAGTAAAGTAGTGAGGAACAGTTATGTTAGCCCCAGGCTAAACAAATCCCTGGTGCCACGGTAACCAAATGGCAGTTGCTCCAGGTTAATCAAGACACCTGGGGCCAATTAAGATCCTTCTAGAAGGTAGTGGAGATAGCTAGGTTGATTGGGACACCTGAAGCCAATCAAGGACTGGCTGGAGCTAGTTAAAAGCCTCCCAGTTAGTCAGTGCAAGTGTGGGTGTCAGGAGCTATAGGAGGGAAGCTGTGCTGTTGGAGGAATGAAGTAGTATGAATCCATATCAGGTGCAAGGAAGGAGGCCCTGAGGTAATTGTGAAGAAGATAGGGGGGGGGGGAGAGGGTTCTGTGGGGAAGTAGCCCAGGGAATTGTATATGTCCTATTTCCAAAAAGTCAGCTTCCGTAGCTGCTAATTTTAGAGTCCCTGGGCTGGAGCCCGGAGTAGAGGGTGGGCCCGGGCTCCCCCCTGCCCTCCCTGATTAATCACTGATACTGGGAGACAACAGAGACTGTGCGAGGGAGGGTTGTTTCTCCTCACCTCCCTTGCTGGCTTATGATGAAAATGGCTCAGTAGACTGTGACCCTTGCCTCTAGAGAGAGAAGGGCTATGTGGAGGGTCACAGTGAACCTCTGAGGCTAGCAAAATCCATCAGGAAACGCAGGACCCACGGAGTCAAGGACAGAACTTCGTCACAATATCCTTTAACTGGAAACCACCTTGAGATGTCCATGTAGAAAGCCCGAACGGGTGCTGTATAAATGCAGGCGAATTGCAGGAGAATGGGCATGCCATTTCCTCATCCTTGTGAGGTCTTCACTATTAATCTATCTGCAACTTTGGCAGCCCGTGGAAAGGCTGTTGCCTCTTATTACCGTCAGTTCAAGGAGTGGTTTCACTGCATTACATAAAGGTGTCCTACATCCCAGGGGGAAAGAAAAGTCTTTGTTTTATTAGGCTGACAGATGATAGGAACTGGGATTGAAATTAATGTGATCAGACTGGTAGCGTCGGATCTGCTGATTATCTAAATAGAAAGAATATTGGCTGACACTGAGCCTGGCACAAACCTCCCTTGAAATCTGATGTTCTGGCTGGAGGACAGCTGGAAGCCATCCAGCGTGAATCTCCCAGTAGGACTGCTGCAAACGATAAGTGTTTGGGGGTAAATAGAGATGAAGAATAGAAAGAAAGAAACTCCAAAGGCAAATTAAAAAGAAGTAGAAATCCTATAAACTCTGTGCTGGTGTGAGGACCTCTAGAAAAGAGTGGATGTGGTGTGTTTGCAGCAGTGTACTGGTGCTGGGATGGGGTCAAGTTGGTGTGTGTGGGGTGGGGGTGTTTGTCACGTGTAAACTTGTCTGGCTTCAGTGGAGTGTGTGAGGGTGGCAGTGTGTATAGAATAATTAGGCGAGATCCTCCACCTGGGTACGTCTGCTTTGCATCACTCAAAGGGGATTGGACTGAGCCCGATGAGTACTACTATTGTAGAGATGACGGAAAATGTTCAAATTTCAAAATTTCCCAACAAAAGAGAACCAATTTTTTCCACACAGTTTTGGGACTTTTTTTTTTGACCTGCTCTTAGTGAAACAGTAAGTTTGTTTTGCTCATTCCCTTAAATGCCCAAGGATCCATATCGTCCAGGCTAGCTCACTAGTATATAGAGCCATGCGGAAAACATGATGTCATTTTCACTGAAAATTTCATCTCTTTGGTTTTTTGGTCAAAATTTAAAATGTTGACAAAAGAGTTAATCAAAATCATGCAGCTAGGATATGTTTGGTCAGTTCCACCAGTATATATTCATATTGTCAAAGGAATTGCTTTTCAGAGCTCTCTTAATACAGCATAGATTTGCAGAGTCTGAGGCCAGAAGGGACAATTAGATCATCTGGTCTGGTCTCCTGCCTAACATGAGCCCTTACATTTCACCCAGCTACCCCTCTATTGGACTTGACTAGAATCATAGAATATCAGGGTTGTAAGGAGGTCATCTAATCTAACCCTCTGCTCAAAGTAGGACCAAACCCCAGACAGATTTTTGCCCCAGATTCCTAAATGGCCCTCTTGAGGATTGAACTCACAACCCTGGGTTTAGCAGGCTAATGCTCAAACCACTGAGCTATCCCCCCTTTCTAGAGAAATGTAAGGAAGTTGCAAAAAAGTACATCTCAGTTATTTTTTTTTATTTCCTAATGGTCTAGACAGGGCCAGCTCCGGGCACCAGCTTAACAAGCAGGTGCTTGGGGCGGCCAAGGGAGAGGGGCGGCACCTACGGCAATTCGGGGGCGGCAGGTCCCTCACTCCCTCTAGGAGCGAAGGACCTGCCGCCGAACTGCCGCCACCGATCGCGGCTTTTTTTTTTTCCAATTGTCGCCGCTGATGGCGATCGCGGCTTTTTTATTTGGTGTACCAGCTGTTTCTGAGTCATCATCATTCATTTCATCCCCTTCTGTCTTTATTAATAGATTTATTTTCCCTTATAGTGCTTTTTTCCCCTCCACATCTTTTCCCTGACAGTCTGTACTGATGCTTGGACAGTGTGTGTTGTGAATAACGTGTACAGTTACCTTTTGATGTAGGCAGGTGAGACATTACTGGTTGTGGCCCTGTTCCCCATTGTGGCTCTAATTCAGCTCCCATTGAAATCAGCAGGAATCTCTCCAGTTCAGTCGGAGGTGGATCAGGTCCGAAGAGCATATGGGTCAATTATGAACCCTGCATCAATTATGAACCCTGTAGCCCATGCATGGAAAGTATGGGGACATATTTCCATGCAAGGGCTACCTGCATCACTGGACCCAGAGACAGCATCTGTCTTTCTGCTGCTACTCCCTCTCCTGCACATGTGGAGTGGGGATGTGCTGGGAGGAGAGTGGATGGAATCTTGCTCCAGCCCCAGTGCACCCAGTGAGGATATTGGGCTCAGCGCAGAGAGGGAAGTAATCTGCACCAGCAAAGGGATAGCAGGGGTTATTTTCCTCCTAGAGCAAGGGAGAGACAGGGGCCAGTGAAGGTCCACTGTTTCTGGAACGCTGCAGCTACACACTGTCCCAGCTCAGGCTGGGTAGTAGGGTTACAATCCACCCCTTCATAAATACCTGCTCAAAGTCATAATAAGTGACCTACTGGTAAAAAAAAGAAAACCTTAAAGCCAAATAGTGTGTTTGTTTTTAATGGTGCCCAGTGCAGCGTGTGTCAATCTGCAGTAGTTGTGTGGTGGGGGCGATGCCTGTAGTGTGTCTCCAGTGTGACGTACGTTGTCTAATATGCAGCATGTAGAAGCACGCGTAGTGTGTAGTATGTGCATAACTTGTGGAAGTGTGTGGGTGTTGTGTTTGCCGTGTGTGTGAATCGTATGCAGTATCTGTGATCGGGTAGGGTATGTGAAATGTTTGTGCCTGTCAGTTTGAGATGTGCACAGAGTGTGTGTCTGACTAATGTGAGTGTGTAAGCAGCGTGTAAATGGTATGTGTAGTGCAGGTATCTTTTTGGCATGCCTGAATATGTGGACTGTGTGTGGTGTGTGTGCACAGTGTATATCGGTCTGCATTGTGCACAGAGTTTGTCTGTTTGGTATAGTGTGTGTTTGTGTCTTTCAAGTGTCGATGCATCTGGTGTGGGCATGTAAGCAGTGTGTCTCTTTCATGGGTGTATATGCAGTCTTGTGTGTGTATCTGTCTTTGCTGTGGGGGTGTAGGCAGTGGGGGCATATGCAGTGTTGTATATGTACACAATGTGTGTGTCTCCCTGCTGTGGGTGCGTATATACTCCGTGAGGTCTTTCCCAAGATAAACCTGTCTAAAAATGACAACACAATTTACGCTTTGCTTGCTTTGGAAAAGACTCAGAGTCCCAGCCCAAGACTGGAATCATAAAAGAAGAATTCATGGGACTTCAGAACACATTTATCACCTGATATATATAAAATGCTCCTTAATCATTTATGGCCAACATCTCACAGGGACTATAGTACAACCACTTCGAGAGAACAACAAAGGAAAATACAAATGGAGTTATTGGCCCTGGCTGTGATAGCAGAGGCAGAGCTATTGTTACATTCTCAGTCATCGCTATTTACACAGTGACACAGGTAGACTCAGAGGTGAAAGTAAACTGGTTCGGTCCAGCGTACTGGCAAGAGCTGGTACGCCGTGCCAGACCGGACCGGACCGGCTTCCCCAGGCTGGCGATTTAAAGAGCCCGGGGCTCCCTGCAGCGGCTGGAGCCCGGGGCCTTTAAATCACCTCCTGAGCCTCGCTGCCAGAGCCCTGGGGTAGCGGCGGCAGGGCTCTGTCGGCGATTTAAAGGGCCCGGAGCTCCACTGCGGTAGCGGCGGCCAAAGCCCCGGGCCCTTTAAATCGCCTCTGCAGCTGTTAGCTCTGGGGGTGATTTAAAGACCCCGCCTCTTCCGTTTGAGGCCACGTCCCTGCTCAGGGCGTACCGGTAAGTCCTTTAACTTACTTTCACCCCATGGGTAGACTCAGTACACCTTTTCTATTTTGGTATCTTTCCATTTCTTCAAAGAAACCAGAAATAATCTGGGGGGAAAACCCACGTCAGATGTAATGATTACATTTTTAAAAATGTATTATCCTGGCTGTATTTATAGCAAATATTAATTTTCTAGTTAGTTTGGCTCCATTATAAGGACCAGATTTTGATCTCCTTATTCCTGGTGAGCAGGACTTAGGCTCAGGTCCTCAAAGATATTTAGGCATCTAATACCCCTTGAAATCAACGGGAGCTAGGCGACGAAATACCATTGAGGCATTAGGCCTCAACCCCCAAGCAGTCCCAACTGAATTTAGGGGCATCACCTGAGGAGTACCATGTTGTTCAGTGTGAGTAAGCATCGGACCCTCCATGAAGTGGGGTGATTAGCAGAGTAAGGTGCTACTCATTGTCAGTAAGTGCAACAGAGTCTGGCCCTGTGTGAGGTTCACATGTCACAAAGGGCGAGGCTCTGCCTCCTTTACTCACGCTGAGTAGTACCTCACTCCATGAGTAGTGCCCCTGAAATGGATGGGACGGTTTGTGGCATAAGACATTACTGGATGTGAGTAAAGGGGCTAGACCCTGTTCCAAAGGGAATAGTTCCATTTTTTGCAGCAGAGGGAAGGCTGGTCTTAGGCACAAACAGAAAGGGCTGCTAGCGGCCCTGATATTTTGGAGGCCTTGTGCTCCACTGCAAACTGTAGGTCCCTTTCCACCCACTCCTTCCTTCAGCAACAAACCAGGAGGAGGTAACTCAAGGACCGATTTCCCACCTACCAACACCTCAAGGTAGGGTTGCCAATTTTGCTTGGATGTATTCCTGGAGGTTTCATCACATGACATCATCTTTAATGAAAAATTAATCTTTGATTCCTGGAGACTCCAGGACAATCCTGGAGGGCTGTCAACCCTACTTTGAGGCCCTGTTTTTGCTTGAGGTCTCACAAATCATAATGCTGTCTCTGAGCAGAGAGAAACAAGAGCTTGCCAGTTCTTCCCTTCTCTATGAGTGGGGAGGAGGATTGGGCCCAGTGAGTTGTCCCCTGGTGCTAGGCCCTTGCTCCAATGGAAGGAGAATTGAGTGTGGAAGGTTCCTTTCTTTGGGGAGAAGTCAGAAAGGAAGCAGGGCCCCCCCCTCTCAGCAAGTCATTGGGCAGGGGAAGGCGCCAATCTTCTCAGCGCAGGTGTTGGGGTAAAGGTGAGCCCAGGAAAGGCCACCACCCCATCGGCTCATCTCTCTTCTTCATGAGGTGGGAGAAGGACTAAAGACCAGGGTCTGATTGAGGACCACAGTTCTTATACATCTTGGGAGGGATGAGACCATGATAGGTCACCCCCACCTCTGATCCTCTGTGGAGGGGCTACCTCTCTATCTCCCAGGACAGGGAAAGGTCCATGTGAAGCTGGGATGTCCCAGAGCAGGGTAGCCTAAGATAAAGGTGAGTGCCTCAGGAATGGTGGAGGAGTCACATGATGAAATATTATTGTAGTACTGGAAGGGGCAAGCTCCATCATGGCAGGGGAAGCCTGAATGTGGGACCAGGTGTCTCAAAAGTGGGCTGGGACCACATGCTTGGAGGTTGTCTGCAGCAGGGCAACCAGTTTGTGTATCACAGGGGGAAGGGGAGAATGCATGGTAGAGATTAATGGAATCAACATGGGGAAGATCAGCATATATGGCAGGTGAATCTTATGCAGAGAGAGCGGGAGGTGGCTTCTCTGGAAAGGATGGGGCCTCTAGGAGAGGCATGGAGGGAAGCCAGTCCCCTCACTGTCAGGTACTGCATAACTTCTCCTGCGTGTCTTGCTACTCTCCACTGCTATGAAAAGAGCCCTTTGTGGAACTTCTCCTCTAAGCTCGTCGTGAAGTAAGTTGAGGCCAAAACAGCCCTTGATTCTGCTGCAGGAGTTTGCAGTTTGGTGCCAATTAAGTAATAACCGCTGTGAATAAAATGGCCCGACAGCTGACATTGTGTATCGATTCCTTCACTTCCCTGCCATCAGAGCAGAGGTGAAGGGGACACTTGAACCATCCCGATGGCAGATAGAAGGTTCCCTCCCCCCTCCAATCCCATCCTAGTTCTCATTGTTTATAAAGCGACAGCCTAACAGACTTGCTCTCAAGCTACAGTGGATATTGCACTATTGATTTTCAGAGTGTTGAACAACCTGGGAATGTTTTGCAAGGTGCGCTGGGCAAAGCGAAGATATTTTCCTGCTTGATTCTCACCGGACTCTAGATGTAATCCACCTTTTAACAAAGCACACAGCATCTTTTCACAACCCCCGTGGGATTTTGAGTATGGGAGCATGGCCTTGTGGATAAAATATTGGACAGGAAGTCAGAATATCTGGTTCTTATTTCTGACTCTATCACAACCTTAGGCAAGTCACTGTAGCGGCTTTGTGCCTCAGTTTCCCCCACATGTAAAATTGGGATAAAAATACACGCAGGGGATTCTAAGGTTAATATGCCAGTGATTAATGAAGCACTTTGAGATTCTTGGACGGAGGGCACTATAGAAATGCAAAGTATTAATTATTAGCATTTTTTTGCAAGGGAGCAGTTGCTGGGGTTGACTCAGCAGAGAGAAATGAGTGACTGTTCCTTGTGTATTTCCTCTTACCAAAGAGAGGGGTTGTCACCTTGTACTGAGTGTTACCTACATCATTTCAGGTTTCCATGCTCGAATCTCTCCCATCTGCAGCGCTTCTCTGTGTTATTCCAACAAAGCCCATAACTTTCCTCCTTTTAATACCCATTGGCAGTTCTCCCCTTTGACTCCATCACACGGATGCTGTGACTGAGTCCCTGCTGAGTTTGACAGAAATCACATGTGCACACCAAAGGTCGGAGTCCAATTGATATATTTTTTTTCAGCCATGTCAATTTTTCCTAGGTAGCAGGGATAAAGGGAATGTTCTTGGCTAACAAGAAGATTGACAACCAAGTGAAAACTTTCATCACCTACAACAAAGGAAGAGACTGGCGCTTGCTACAGGCTCCAGACACTGATCTGAGAGGAAACCTTGTTCGTTGCCTCCTAGTAAGTGCTGCTTTAAAAAACAACAACAATAACTTTGCCCCAGGTAACAACACAAAGATGATACTGACTTTAAAAAAAGAAAATAGGACTGGTCTTCATGGCTGTGCTGTATGGCACGGACAGGAATCTTCATTGCAAGGGCACAGTGATGGTAGGCTTGGGCAGCCAGACATTATAGGAAGAGCCGGCTATTTTATTTAATTATTTATTTATCTTTAATGAAGGAAACATTTTATAATGAGGCTTCTTTCTGCAGAGCTGATGATCTCCTCTTAGGCAGCAGGTGAAGATACGGACTCTGTCACCGTGTAGTTGAAATTCTGCACACTAGGTGGGGTGAGCGAGCTATTTGTAGGTGCCAGCAGGGGACCAGTGGAGTTTTCAGGAAGGATCTTCCGGAGATAGGTCAGTCCAGTCGCCAGAGATGGGCACAGGCTGCGGAATTAAAAGGGGGACGGGGGCTTTGTAGTGTCCGTTGTAGGTAATTTATTATTATATGTTGCTTGTTTTTCATTTATGTTACGTAGCCAGAGACTAGGGCAGTCAAGACATTACAAAAATCTGTGTGTGAACTTGTTTTGATCTGCCGGAGTGTGCAGCCCCCGCCCCCGGAGCACTGCTTTACCGTGTTATATCCGAATTTGTGTTGTATCGGGTCGCGTTATATCAGGGTAGAGGTGTATATATAACTAGCAAAACAGAACTCAGAGGCGTTTCTATGGAATTTTGCAACCGTTTCAAAATAAATATCATAGTCTCACCTCCATCGGCATGCCCATACAGAGATTGGGATAGTAATCTGGACACCCCCACAGCTCTGGCTGTTGGGAGCCAGTCAGGATCAGGAAGCACTTCCCATAATGGTCTCGCTGTTCTTGTCTCTTTGCTGTAGCCACCTGCTGTCTCTCATCGTCGGCTTTGATGGTAAACTCTTTGGGGCAGGGACCATCTTCTCCGTGTGTGTGTGTGTGTACAGCCTCTAGCACAGTGGGGTCCCGATCCCTGACCGGGGCCCCGAATTACTACGGCAACAGTATATACTAAATACCTGTGATGGGTGCATCGTGTCTGTCTGGAAGTGCTTACTGTCAGATCCAAGTGCATTTAGAGCCAAGGGTTCTGGCTCAGCCTATTATAAATATAATGGCCATTTGTAAAATTCGGATCTGGGGCAGGGCTTTGGTTTGGGCCCATCTCCTGTAACACAAATCCCATGTGGTAATGATGCTCCTCATTTTTTTTACGTACCCCAGCAGAAGTAGCCCAGCTCATTTGCAGTGTGGGGTATGTACTTTCTCAGCAGGGTACCTAGGGATTTACTAGCCTATTTACAGGACGGTGGGACTTTCGCACAGAAATGACTGAGACATTAAGAGAAGGTTACTAGGGTGGCGGGACGTCCCTCAAGGCACAGATTGGATCAGCACAACAAAATGCAGATACTTCTCCAAAGGTTATCTGAGCCTCTTGGGTGTACAGAACCGAGCAGAGCATCTCATGAGAACAATTTCTCCTGTAAGATTTTCAGGACTTGCTGCTTCTAGTCAAGGCAAGAAATATTTAAAAAAAAATACATACAGCAACCCAAAACTCTTACTGGACAAGTCACTTCCCCCTCTTTGTGCCTCGGTTTCCCCATCTATGACTGGGGCTCGTGATACTGACATCCTTCGGAAAGCGCTTTGAGATCATCTGATGAAAAGTGCTGTATAAGAGTTAGGTGGTAATTGTTGTTGTTATTGTGTTGTAGTACTTCTGTTTCTGCAAAACTGGCAAGAACTGTGGAGCGGGGGAGTGGGAGTGAAACATAAGGAAAAATAAGTGGATTTTATAGGCCTTCAGAAAAGTTGAGATTTGAGTTCTGAGCACAGAACGAGGCAGATTCTTATTTTATCCACAGCAGGTAGCCAGCCCCTAACTGTGGCACATAAGAGGTGGGAAGCTAGTGGACAGAGCCCTACGTTTTCCCCACTCCACCTACGCTCCTAGCCTCCCTCTCCCCAGAGAGCCAAACTTGAAACAAGCAGCAGTCCTGCACCAGGATCTTCAAAGTGGTGGAGGAATCAGAGCTATAAGAAGGTCTGGCAGACTGACGTAAACTAGGGTCAGGATTTTGGAAGGTTTGGGCTCTGGTCTGGAAGCCCAGCCCTGTAAGACTGACGATAAATCAACAGCAGTTTCAGCTTCTGAATCTTGCATGTAATCATACTGAGTAATTGTTATTCTATGTATTACAGCAGCACCCACTCAGTGCTGGGAAACTCTGTTAGGTATATAGTTGTTATGATCCCCATTTGACAGCTGGGGAAGGTGTCGCACTGAGCTCAATGGGGTTGCCCTGCTGTGAATGAGAGCAGAATGTTGCCTAGAGAAGTTAAGTGAGTTGCCCAAGGTCATGTAGCTGGACAGTGTCACAGCACCAATTATCCCTGTAGAGCTATTTACTCTTGGCCCCAGGTTCAGCCCATTGGACTACACTGCTTCACCAATATCAGGGCTTGCTTTGCATCCCTGTAACAGCGATGTAACAGCTGTCATGATACCTGTAGAAATAGCCTACAGCTTTTCCCAGTTTGTAGCTGAGTAGCCAGTAGCCACAACATAGGTTACCCGTGCCCTTGGGCTAGCGACAGGATTTACAAAGCCCATGACTCTAGTAAGACTGCCTGCAGAGCGATGATGTTATGAGCCGTTTACACTGGGGAGAGCACAGCTCCTGATGACAAGGGGTTAATCAGTGTGGTTGTTCTTTTTTGCTGTTCTTAAATGCTGTTCTTAAGAACTGGATAGCAAAGGTTTAGATGACATCATGATTATCAACAGGATCATAGCTATGCAAGCCAATGGCAATACCCGGCTTCATCCCATACAGTGCTGTGGCTGAGTGTACGTCATCTGAGAGCAAGCTGAGAGGTGATGGGGCAGGAACAGGACCTGGGGAACTCAGTCCTGCAGGAAACGGCCGTGCTGCTGCCCAGCTATCAATTTACTCCTGACTAATAGGAGCTGTAAGGTCGAGGGGAACTGCACAGCCAAGCATCTCTTTGCACTCTGTGGGTTGCATTTAAATTTCTTCACACGTGCCCATTCCCCATCCAGATCTTGCCCCATTTCCCCCCGGCTTGCTCTCTTGACTAATGGAACAAGCACATCTCTGGTTTGTTTATTTCCACTCTCTGCAGGGGACTATGTCTCCTGTTTAACTCCCATCCCACGTAGCCTCCACTCAGTGCTGGAGAGCAGCAACCTTGCGCTCCCTGCTGCGCATTGGGCTGGGAACTAGGCCTAAATACCAGGGCCTGATCTAAGGTCCATATGAGTCTGTCCATTGACTTCAGTCAGCTTTGGATCATTGCCTCTAGGGCAGGGCCGGCTCCAGGGTTTTGGCCGCCCCAAGCAGCCACAAAAAAAAAAAAAAAAAGCCGCGATCGCGATCTGCGGCGGCAATTCGGCAGAAGGTCCTTCGCTCCGAGCTGGAGTGAGGGACCGTCCGCCGAATTGCTGCTGAATAGCTGGACCTGCCACCCCCCTCCGGAGTGGCCACCCCAAGCACCTGCTTGACAAGCTGGTGCCTGGAGCCGGCCCTGCTCTAGGGGTAGGGAATGGGAAGGAAGGTGGCCATCCCTCACCCATCTTACAGCATTCCACAAACTGGCCACGTGAAATATGTGGTCAGAGGGGCTTGTTTGTTTTTTAACCTTCCCCTGGAGTGTCAAATAATAGAAACAGGTAGGATGCCACACCCGTTGGCTGAGCCTGTATGGGCACTTCCTCATGCTTAGGTATTATCAAGGGATGGAAAACCAGAAGATCAGGGACCAACTAAGGCACGGAAGATCTTGCTCACAGGTTAAGCTAGAAATTTGCCAGGAAGGAATTAGAAGAAACCTGAACTAAACTGACTTACTAGAACATGTACTGGGACAAGTGGTCTTTTTGAAAGAGCCAGCTGCCAGTTTTTCTTTTGCTGGTTGAATAAAAGTCAGAGCCTTGTAGCTGGGGAAAGGAATGGGGAAAACTGTACAGAAAATGCACCGGTGGTGCAAAGTAAGAGAGGAACACGCTTTGAGTTGGAGGAGAGACCCACGCTGTTAAAAATCTTCTTTCAGTTTTGGAGCTAATGGCAGTGAGGAGATTGTGCAGCGTGAGGACTCCAGACGTGCCAGTCACAGAAAGCAGAGCACAGAGATTAGAAAAAAGATTTGTTGAGCAGAGCTGCTAGAAATGTAGTAGAGGCTTCCAAAGAAACTAGGGCTCCATGGGGACATTTTTGTTCAGAAGGAGCCTGGGGAAAAGGGACTTGTGGAAGTGCAATAGAAATAGGAGATTGTGCCCAATCGGGGCAGGGTTTTAGGCTGGGGCTTGCAAAGGAACCTCAGGGTGTTAGTTGACTAGAGCTCCTAGGCACTACCACAAAATGAATAACTCATAATAACAACTAATGATGTCTCAGTATCATAGGAGAGATGATAGGCTGTGCAGGGATAGGCCTAAAAGCGGAGACCAGAAGCTGGTGTTTGATGCGATGGGGAAGGGGGAGCCAGTGGAGGGAAGCAAAGAGCGGGGGTTAAAGTGACAAGCCAGGACACCTTTGCATGGATGTACATGGGGCAAGAATGCATTTGTCAAAGCCGGAGAGGAGAAGGTTGCAGTAGGCAAGAGGATGAGAAGCTGAGCAGTAGTTTTAGCTGTGTGGGTGGAGAGGAAAGGTCAGATTTTAGGTGGTGCTTTGGTCTCCGTTGGGACCTCTAGGCATTGCTGCATTATGATGAATAATGGTTATGCACTTGATAGGCAGCATGTCAGCTCTTGCACTGGGGCCCTAGTACTTGTTGTCTATACCCTGTATCTATATAATAACGATGGTAATAATAGCTGGCTTTTATATAGCACTTTTCATCAGTAGAGCTTACACCTATATAATATGTATCTATGAAGTGATACAGATACAAGATAAAAGGAAACCTCAAGCAGCACAATCTAAAAGGATTGAAGGCTAAGACGCGAGCTAATCTCTGTTGGAGCGGGGGATTGGGTGAATTACTTCCATTAGCTACCGTCTGCAAAATGCCAGAGGGCGACATTAATTATTTTGGTTTGAAAAACATGTTCTCCCTTTAGCCCTTCAGAATGGATAGAAATTTAAAAGGAAGAATCCCTTTTCCCTGACTGCCTTTCTGCTTAGCCGAACTGGGTTCTCTCCCAGAATCCTCCTCTGGATTGCTGTGGAGTCTGACCCTACAAGACTGTCAGCTGCGGTTATGGCGTTTGGCATATTCTGCTTGTCTAGTGATGCTCCCACCCGTGCCACCCTGGCCTTTTCCTTTGTGTCCCATCAGCAAGAGTTCACCTCCCTCTTCCCCACACGGCCATCGGGCTCACCTTTGCGGGAGTGGTACTTGCTGACTTGGGTGGTTGACATCCTCATTGAGGGACTCACATTTCAAATTCGGAGAGGCACAAATGTGTCCACGACAGGGACAATATTATGCTCCAAGTGACCATCCTGAACTAGCCAAAGGAAGGCCTAAAACAATGCTTACCATTAACAGATGGGCATTGGAAAATAGCTTGCTATTGTACAGCATTGCAGATATTTCCTTTCACTCAGTAAATCACAACCTTTCTAGTGTTCACTGCAGGGTCTCATCCATGTCTAACGTCTATGAGTCATTTTGGGGCATGGTGCCCATTCTCTGGTTAATCCTGATCTTCCTCCCACTCCTTGAAGGGTGTTGGAGGGAGGTGGGCGTACCCTTGTTTCTCACTTATGCTCTGGGTGGTTCCTCCAGTCTTTGCAGATGCACGCGGTAGAGATCGTACTTACATGCACTCTGTGGGAGTGTTGTGTTATCATTGGACCAAATCCTGAGAAAAGAGCTGAGCATCTCCAGCTCCTGTTCGTTTCAGTGGAGGCTTCGTGTGCTCTCACCTCTCTAATTTGTCTGTGTGCCAGGCACTGTGCAAACATAGAAGACCCAGCCCCTGCCCCCTACGTCCTTCTCCCAGCCTCAGATCTTGGTGCCTTCTTCCACGTGCATGGAGCTCTCCCCTAGTTCCAGTCCACCAAACACTCTCTCTCCCCTCATCCAAACCACCCAGATTCTGTCGTGCTGTTCTATCTCTCCTCTGCGCTTTCCCCATTCAGCACTCTCATCCCCTCTGGGTTTGGTGCTCTGGCTTTTTGCAGCCTGTGTAAAATCCTCCAAAGAGATCCATGCTCCCAGAGGCTCATTGTCTCCAATTGGACACTGCATGGGAGCGAGGGATCTTGAGTGTGGATCTGTTTGCAAGATCGGACCCTGAGACTGCAAGCTCCTTGGCTCAGGATATGTGTTCTGTGCTTTTTAAATAATAATAATAATAATGAATAATACCAGCAGTCGCATGCACAATGCAGCTGAGGCATCTAATACTCTTCTCCTCTTTGTTATTATCCTTACAATTTTGCCTTGTTACGGTGGCATGGAACAGATCTCTTTAAATAAAAGGAATCAAAAGAGTGGGAGAGAGAGAGAACCAGCTTGTCACTGCCAGGGTTTGAGAGCCAGTTTGGGGTTTGTCTTTTCATTAGACTGCCCGTGTCAGTACGTAGCAGCTTGCAGTGCTTCACTCGCAGAGCTGTGCTAATGGTATCATCAGACCTTGTTACCCTGTTGTTCACAGACTGGCTGGCACATGTCCCTCGGGCTGGCGTTCCATTTGCTTCCAGCTTTGGTTTTTTTTTTTTTTCTATTTTGCAATGAGCTTTTTTGGAGCCTTCAGGAAAGGAGTAAGAAAAGCTAGGTTCTCACAGATTGTCCACAATAGCAGGGGACCCCTTCCAGTCCTCTGTTCTGATGTTCCATGGCCATCACTCTGATGTACGAATGCCCATTGGGAAGGGAGACTGAATGGGATGCCCTTTCTGACTTGTCTTTTCCTCCCCCACCCCTCTTTCTCTCCAGCCCTATTGTTCGCTGCACCTTCACCTAAAGGTTTCCGAGAACCCGTACACTTCAGGAAACATCGCCAGCCGAGATACTGCCCCTAGCATTATCGTGGCTTCTGGTATGAAACATTCAGTTACTATCTATTGTACATAAAGTGTTGTAGACATCAGATTCCGCCTATTGCATTTCCACTGTGCATGGAAATAGAAGTATTTGAACTTTGATCTTGTAATTACGTTTCCTTGCCAAACTAAGATGACAATTCTTCCCCCTCCCCAACACTGAAATCCTTTGCTTCGGAAAAGGTAAAAATCATTTACACCACTGAGGCAGTTCGCTTTCCTATGTCTTAAAATGTTGTTGCACTGAATAATGTTCTCCTTACAGGTAACATAGGTACCGAATTGTCAGACAACGACATCAGCATGTTTGTTTCATCGGACGCTGGGAACACGTGGAGACAGGTAAATAACGTGAATCACAGCCTTGAGTGCTAAATGAAGGGAAGGTGCTTTCTTTAAAAATGTGATGTGTTTTTCTTTTCTTTTTAGTGGCAGAATAATTGATACTAACCCAAGCGAAGTATAATCCCTACTTGCTTTTTCTGACACTATTTCCTGTTAAAAAGTGGGAATGTGCCCAAGCCACCAAGCCTGGTATTTTCAAATACAGCTTAAGGGAGTTTGGTTGTTGATTTCCATGGGAGTTTAGCTGCGCTAGAGTTTTGGGTGGCTGGAGCAGACATCTAGAGAAGGAAGGCCCAGTGGTAGGGCACTTACATAGGATTTGGGAGAGCCAGGTTCAATCCATGCCATAGACTTCCTGTGTGAGTGTGTGCAAATTACTTAGTTTCTCTGTGTCTCGGTTTCCCATCTGTAAAATGGGGATAATAGAACTGCCCGGCCTCAGGGAGGTGTTATGAAGATAAATTAAACATTGTGAGGCACTCTGGTTCTATGGCAAAAGGGACCAGTAAGCACCAGCGATAGATAAAAATTTTAGTTTGAGCCCAGATCTAACAAAAAGATATTGCCATACTTGTGACTGGCTCCCCGCCAACCCTCAGCTTGGCAACTACTGCTTGAGATCTACTTGGATGGGTTGCACATGTCCTTTCTTACAAGTAAAATACTCCCAGTTTAGTGTAACAAATACTTTCTTGACAGAGAATAGAAGAAATCAGAAATGGGAAAGCCTTCTTAGGTCACTGTGACCCTAGGGACCCCTCAGTGCCAACTATTCATTGTCCTATAACAGCAACTCCTATCAAGCCTGGCAAACTCGCTGCAACTAACACACTGCTTTTGTGGTAGCCATCCATAAACAGTGTTTTGTAAGGTATCAATGTGTATGTACTGATTATATTTAAAAAGTAGGTCTATATACGAAAAATATGTTTTTATCGAAGTATTAATCCCTCGTAGAGGTGAAAAACTGGTTTTGCCAGACAAAGGGAAGCATATTCACATACCTTACGTAGGTTCATATGTAGATTCAGCGTTGTAAACCAAAGCAATGGAAGCCCCATTGAAATAGGAGTCGACTGGGGGATGGGGAGTCGACAGGAAGAGAAGAACAGCAGGGGTCCTCCTGACTATGGGGACAACACAATGAGTTTTGAGAGCCATTTGGGGATCCAATACTGTAGGACACCCCTTGAAAGGTCTGGGGTATTCATGAAAACGTGGATCCTGGCTTTGACTGAAAACCAGCACCTCTGTCAAAGACTGAATCCTTGGGGGAAAATCTATTTTATTCAATAGGACAGGTAAGCCACTGAGAAGGGTGGACCTAGGATTGCGGTGTATGGTTCATTTTTTGCGCAACCATTCTGTGTCCAGTAGTCTCACTTACTTCTCATTTGGATCTCTGTTCTTTGTGAATAAACTTATTCTCCTTTTACAGTCGACAGCATACTCCCGATTTCCCAAAACCCTATGTTCCAAACCTTTGTGTTATCTGAATCCCTTCCTTGTCCCAAGGGAGTCGAATGATGCAGAGCTTTGGAGAATAGAGCAGAGACCCCGGCCATGGGGGAGGCCACCTGCTGCCCCACTGTGATGGGAGTGAGTGAGCAGGGCCCACCCCACTTGCTCCTCTCCGCCCCCTCTCCCCTGTCACTCACCCAGGCCCCCCTGTTCCGGCACCCCTGATGGGGAGTGTACTGTCCATCCCAGTGCTGTGGTATTAAGCAAACTGTAACTCAGCTGAATCAAACAAGCTGAGGTATGTCTTGTTCCCTTTGGGAACAGCGAACCTGGTAATTTCTATGTGTCCGGTGATGGGCTGAACAGTTAGGGTGACCAGACAGCAAATGTGAAAAATCGGGATGCAGGTGGAGGGTAATAGGAGCCTATATAAGAAAAAGGCCCCCAATTCACAACTGTCCCTATAAAATCGGGGCATCTGGTCACCCTATGAACAGTGCATGACTGCAGGTGACGCATGTAGTGGGGCTCGGGGGTGGGGGTATACCTTTTGTTCCTGCAAGGCAAAGAAGGGCTGGCAGAGCCCTGAGGAGTACTTGAGTGGCTGCAGGGTTGGCAGTGTTAGGGAGCTGACTTTCTCTCACTGGAGGCAGAGGGAACAAGGTGATTCACCGTCCAGAGCACCCTAAGGTAGCGGCACCATCTTCTAGTCTATTCCCTGGTGGACCAGAGCTTCAGCACAGAGGAGTCACTTAAATCAATCTACCGTAGCTTTTCATTGCTCAAGGGCTGTCACCTTCTCCTCTTCCCTGGGAGGTTATTCCACCCTCATACTGATCTCACTGTTAGACAGTTTCCCCTGATATTCTGCCCACGTTACCCTTTGTTTAATTAATCTCATTAAGGACCTAGAAATTACCACAGTGGATCAGTCCAGTTGTCCTTGTTGCACCAGCTGCTTCTAAGGAAGGAGTTAACCTTGGGAATGGACACGTGTCCATGGATGCATCCAAAAGGGGAAATTTCTAGGAAGCCCCTGTCAGTAGTTGGCTTGTTCCATGAAGGGGATATAAACCCTCATGCTTTAGGACCTGATCTAAAGCCTGTTGAAATCAATGGGAGCCTTTCCATTGACTTTGTAATCGGCTTTGGATCAGGGCCTTAGATTACTAGCCCACTTCTGATAAACTTGGTTAGGAGGCAACTTTCCCTGTGGACACATTATCCCATAGCTGCCGGCTCCAGCGTTTCTTCTCTGAAGCATCTGGTGCTGGCCACTGTCTGAGACAGGATATTGAACTACAGGACTTGATCCAATACGCTGGTTCTTTCATTCCTGTGTTCCTAAGCATCAATGTTTGGGTCGCTTACGTTTCGTATCCTGTCTAGCATAACTGTGTATATTCTTAGTATCCCTATAAATGCCTATTTTTTCCCAATATGATTACGTTTTTGTCCTCCGTAATATCCTATGGCACTGAGCTCTACAGGTTAACATGTGTTTAGTTAAAAAAAAAAAAAAAAACCTTCCCTTCTATTATTAAGTTTTCTGCCTTATTATTTCATTGGCAGTCACCTTTTTTCATTTATTATGAGAGAGGGGAAGTGCTGTTTCTTATTCCTTTCATATTACTCTTAGTTATACCCCCTGTGTGAACCTCCACAGTTCCTCTCCCTTCTGATGATTACACCCTCAATACAATTATCAAGGATCCCCAATCCAGTCACCAGCACAACCACTGCAAATACAAACATAGTCTCCAAAATACAAGGGCCTCGCTTACAAGGACAGCACAGCAGAACCATGAGCATATTATCCTCTTGATGGAGCACATCAAGGCAAGGACTTAACCTGAAAGAAGATGGATGGAGAATGAAAAATATCTCCTGTTCTGCTCGGATTATAAATCTCAGGCACAGAAAGCAAAGCCTCATGCCACACGAGCGAGACACTGTGATTACTGAAACAAATGTGTTTGCCCCCTTCCCTCCCCACTGTTCTGCATGTTAATTAAATATCCCTTGCTTTGAGAGCACATAACTAATGAGCTTTAGCAATCAGGTAGAAGGCTGGATAATCTAATGCATGGCTGCTGAGCATCATTAAATATGTTTTAATAATTAGCTGGCATTTATTTAACATGCAATAATTCTCATACATTGAAATTAAGTATATACTTAAGTGTTTTTAACAATGCAAATAGTCAGTCTTGGATTGGCAATTGCTCTGCCTTGCAGGAGAGATGAGTTTGGAGGTGGAGAGCAGCATTGCTTGGGCCTTGACTCTGAAGTGTCTGATACTGGCCACTGATGATTAGAGGGTGCTGGATTCAAGGGACCACTGGTCTGACTCAGTCTGGACATTTCAGGCTTCCCGTGTTAGCATGGGCTGGAAGCAGTGGGGAAGTGGAGAGCAGAGTCCTTCATGTTGCTATACAGCGTCCCCTGCCCCCACGGATCAGCATTTATGGAGTCTGGATGTTGCCCGCATTTTAAAAAAAGAAAGGATGAGTCAAGCCGATGGGAGCGGTGCAGAGGAGTTCCGAAGGTGAATAAAGGGAGGAAATGGCAGGGACTTCCAGGGACACTCACAAAACTATTTCTCTGTGGTACTCACCTGGCCCCCATCTCTTAGCGCTCACTTCGTTAGTGTGTTCATCCTCACCACACCCCTGTGAGGTAGGCAGTGCTGTTATTTCCACTCTACAGGAACTGATGGGGAACTGAGTCACAGAGAGACTCTGACTTGTCCAAGGTCACACAGGGAGTCTAGGGCAGACTAGGGAAATGACCCTAGGTCTCACAAGTTCCAAGCAAGCGCGAACCACTGGACTGACTTTCCTCTCTACCTGAAATGGGCCTTTATTGTTGCTGGAGCTGAGTGACTAATTAATAAAATGAATAATTTGTTCGATGGATCTTTGTTGGGGAAATGGCTGCAACCATCTCCATCATTTATTTGCCATTCGAGAGCATCTTACACAAACTCTTTTCGTTCCGTGGCTCGCTAGTCGAAATCTGAAATTTGAGCTCTGTTGTGATCGGTCACAGAGTAGCATATCTTCTCTCTGATTGGAGGAGTGCGACTCTTATCAGGTGGGTACATTTAGAACCTGGTCTTGTGTCACTGAAGTGGATGGAAGCTTTTCCGTCAAGTTCAGTGGACGTGAGATTAGACCCCTAAAATCTGAATTCCTAAATTAGCCAAGCAGTGATCTTAAAATATGCTATCCAAGGACTACTACCGAAACCGGACTGCATGGGTGTTTGCAGGAGACTATAAAAGGGACCCGACCAAAGGAAACCTGTTTTAATATGTGAACAAATACTGAGGGAAATTAATTTTTGCATCGTTTGCCCAGCTCTCTTTGTCCTCTCAAAACCCTCCCATATGGTCTTTGTAAGTCACCTGCAAAGTGAAGCTCCCTGCACCTCAAACAAAGCTCCCCGAGCTCCAGGGTGGGGATGAGTGATGATCTAAAAGTATCACATTTCAAATAGATTCTCCCTGCCAGCCGGCAGGATGAAATGCATTTGACAAGGGGGAAGCAAGATAGCAACATAAAAAATCAGAACTGTCTGGGTAATAACGTGTCTTCCCCTTGCTCCGTAGTTTGGTAAACATATCCCCATCCAGTGCCTCTCCCTGAATAAGAGTGTGGCCTGTAATCCAAGCTAAGGAAAACGGATCTGGGTATATGTATGTTTTGCAGATCTTTGAAGAGGAGCACAGTTTTTTATACCTGGATCAAGGTGGTGTCCTGGTTGCCATGAAACACACATCGTTGCCTATCAGACATCTATGGTAATGACTGTGACCGTGCTGATCCCATTTGTCCGGGAGTCCTTCATTCCACATTATGTGCTGCTGGCAGTTAAGCTGTTACTAATTTTTTTAGCTAAATGACAGAATATGTCAATTAGGAAATTTACATGCATTCACTCTGATAAGGGCTAAAGCAGTGCCGGCGATTTCACACACAAGTGCAAGTGGGGAAACAGGTTACGGTTCTGGCGCCAGATCCTCTGTGATGGTAAAACAGCATCATTCCATTAAAATCACTGGAACTACACTGATCTATCTCAGCTGAAGGTTTGGCCCCTAGAGTCTGACCATTAAGTTGGAGTTTGGAGTAGGATCAGTCTCCTAATGAGTTCCAAATATGCTTTATTTGCAAAACCGTGGATGAAATGATCTCCTAGGTGGAGGGCAGCAGTTATACCACAACTTTATTAGATAACGTCAGGGCTACCCACCAAATAAAGTAGCATTGTCACCACTAGGAGGAGCTGTTGAGCTGCCTTGACAGAGCATCGCTTTGTGCTGTTTATCGTTCCGTAGCCAGCACTACGGTCAGCATCTTGCCAATATCTAACACACACACATCAAGATTTTAGAAAGCGACGAGTAGTTTTGGGTTTTCATCTTGAGACGCCTTAAAGGGACCCGGTTTTCAGAAAGTGCTGAGCTCCTGCACTCTGAAAATGGCTCCTTTTAAGGTATCTCAAGCTGAAAGATCACGAGTCACTTTTTAAAAATCTTGGCTGCAGAGTCCATCTTGCCCTTAAAATTACAGTCTCACACAAGACTTCACGAGTTACCACCACTTAAGTATTGGCCGCTGATTAGCAGTATCATGCCAGACTAGCTTGATCAATGCTCTGATTTATGATGCCCAAAACAAGTAGTTCTTTCTAGGACTTAAACTGCAGTGTCCAAGAGCAGAGACGGCTGTTTGTTTGCTCTGGCAGGCGAAAAGGATTCAGCAGTAGTGGGATGGAGACCTTTTGGCCAAACCAGAAGAAACCTTTGTGTGGGGGCATTAAAATCAAGATGATCAAAAGCGACTACTGGTTTTGGAAGCCTCGGCATGATGATGCTCAGTGACACCTTAAAAGGGCCTGATTTTCAGAGGCCGGGTGCTCAGAATGTGCTGCAAATCAAGCACCTTTAAAGAAACTCGGAGTAGGCACCAATAATCCTTAGTCATTTTTTTTAAAACTTGGCCTGCCTAGCTGTTGAGGCAGCTTCTACCTTTTGTCTCTTTATGTCCAGCAGCTCCGTTTCCTGCAGCTGTGCCTGAGAGATGATGACCCTTCTGCTTTTCCCACTAGGTTAAGTTTCGATGAAGGGAGATCCTGGAGCAAGTACAGCTTCACGTCCACCCCACTCTTTGTTGACGGGGTATTGGGTGAGCCCGGCGAGGAGACTCTGATCATGACGTAAGTGAGCATGTAAAGGGAAAACAGCCAACATCAAGTTAACTCTGATGAGAACTGCACCATAAACACGTACTTGGGCCAGATTCTCGTGTAAAGACACCTCTGGCCAGGCTGTGAATGGAAACTGAACCTGGGATATGGGGGAGGCAGGGGATGGGAATATGCAGTCATGCTCGTGATGCCAAAAGTCAGCAACATTTGCATGTAATACCGGTAACCCTCATAACTCAAGCCTGACCCCAGATGTACAGTACCTTCCCTCTTAACTTGTGTATATTTAATGTTAAACATTAACTTTAATGACATTTTTAAATCTGACTTGGAGGGTCATACGTGGGATCCACCTAAGCTTCAGAAATGTGGCCGTGTGGCTCATCAATGTGAATATTTGACTCTTCAAGCTTTGTGAGACTTTAAGCAGAGCCACCCGTTGCAGGTGAATGTTGGAATGAAAAACAGGGTGGGTTTTTTTTTTTTTTTTTTTTTTTTTTTAAAGCCGTGCTTTTGTATTTTTAACTAGGATGCTGCAAAATGGTAAGCGTGAATGACAAAATGTGGCCTGGGGCTTGTGATTTAGTTTCAGTGTGGGATTCCGAGTTCTGCGTAGCACAGAAATCTGTACTCCCCCTGACATTTTGCTTGGGCTCAAATTTGCAACAAACGTGAGAGAATTTCAGTTTCTGCTTGTGAAAATGAATCACGTTGTAATCGATAGAACTTGTGGTTTGGAAATTAGCTGCTGAAAATAAAGGTGCACTAAGAAGGTGCCATTCAGATCCAGATCTGGTTCTGGATTTTGATTAAACTGGAGCCCAGGGTTCTGATTTGTGGTAGAACCAGGGACAGGATTTGAGTTTGGATTCAGTGATACTAAAATCCTGTGGGTTGTTCTTGGACAACATCAGCCTCAAATGGCAAACCTTTGGCAAACCAACAGCTGGGCCTCTAAGATTTCTTCTCCTAATCAGGTTTCAGCCAATGCCAAACCAGAATTGAAAACCAAATTTCCCTTCTTGTTTTGGATCCGCTCTAGGACCAGAATCCTACAGGCAAGTTCATTCGGATAGGGTGCCACTCCCCACCTCATGCATCCCCACTCCATAAAATAGCCAGTGGTTCCGATTCCTGGGGCCTAGATTTGTCCCATCTCTAGTAGATATTTAGAAGATCATTCTTCATTTTTTGTGCTACCCCCAAAAGACCCTTGTTAGTGTCAGTCATAGCTCAACAACTGTAGCCTGGTCCTGAAATAAACAGTCTTAATAGTTTAGGGGTTACATGTGCAAAAGTGACTTTGGTATTTAGAAGCCAACGTCCCACTGACTTTCATTTAGACTTAGGCTTCTATGTCGCCTAAGGGCTTTTGAAAACGTTACCCAAAATCTCATTGAAATCAGTTGAATTTAGGATCCTAAGTCACTTAGGGTATTTCTACACTGCAGCTGGAAGGTGTAATTCCCAGTTTGTGTGTGTGTGTATACACACACACACACACACCAGTGTGGCCACAGCATCACTGGCAACAGCTTCAGCTAGCTGCCCAAGTACGTACATAGGAGGTGAGATGGGATTGTACTTGGGTGGCTAGACAGAGCCACTTCCCTGCCACTGGGACCATGATGCTACTTTTAGGTACTAGCTCCAGCAGAGCTAGTATGTGTATGTCTCCCAGAACTGGGAAGTCACTTCTCCCAGCTACAGTGTGGATGTACCCTCTGACGCTTCTGAAAATTTGACCCCGGGTCAATTCCGTACCTAGGAGGCGGCATTGGCGACGCCTTTGAATGTATAAACTCTTCCTTGCTGTGCTCTGTAGAGTGTTCGGACACTTCAGCCATCGCTCGGAATGGCAGCTGGTGAAAGTGGACTACAAGTCAATTTTTGACAGGAGATGTGCAGAAGAGGACTACCGGCCGTGGCAGCTCCATAGCCAGGTAAGAAGCATGAAAGCTGGATATGAGTTGAGGTCTTGATGATTCTGCAGCTGAACACTGGTGAAGATCCAAGGTCCTTTCCTGCTAACTTGGTGGCTCAGAGTCACTGGATGAAACTATTACTGGCCTGTAATATTTCATTTCAATTATACACTGGCTTCAAGCTGCAGCCTACAGACTGCTTCCATCTCTAATGGATACAAGCCAGGGCTTAGAAAGAAGCAGGTGTTCCAAGTGTTACCTGGACACCTGCAAGCATGGCTCAGATAGCCATATAGGCCCAGATCCTCAAAAGTGCATAGGAATCTAAGTGCCAATACAGTCAATGGGAGTTAGGCACCTTTGGGAATCTGGGCCCTAGAGTATAATTCCTAGCTCATGACACTTTCTACATGGTGTTTTATATTCTGTAGGGTCAGAATAAATTATGGCCCAAGTGGTCTAGTGGTTTATTGAAGTCGATAGAGCTGAACTTGTTTATATTCTCAGAGAATAGGGGAACTCTATTTATAACTTCTTGGGAAAGGGTTTGAGAGGTAATATAAAATTAAAGTGGGCTGGGCTTAGATGGACTGTTCCAGTGAGACACAAACGCAAGACTGAAGTCCCAACTGTGGGTCAGATTGTCAGTTGATGTTCATCTCCTTTGAAGTCCGTGCAGCAACGCTATTTTACACTGGCCACTGCTCTGCCCTTTGTTTACATGAGCCAGGCAAAGCTGTGAAAAAGCTCCGTTTTCATCCAGCAATTCAAACAGGAGTAAAATATAAGCCAGCCAAATGTATTTTGTTTTTGTCTTTCTGTGCTTGCATAAGCTAAAAAGCCAAGGACTGCACAGTCCATCTTCGATAACATCTGCTTCTGAGCATGTGAAACTATTAATGGAAGACTGCCCCGTATTCTTGCCTCTAGATTTGGTTCCTATTGAGAGTGCAAGTCTGAGCCTTCTCTTCTCTGATTTCCCTAGAGAAAAAAATATTTTGCAGGGTTCTTTAGTCAGTTATATAACAAGTGTTTGAGTTCAGTGCGTAACAGACAATATGCTCATCCTGTACTCAAAATTTATGGAGTAGCTTTATGTACAAACAAATGACAGAGTTCAGTAGAGCTGGTTAGCTAAAAAAGAAGACTAAAAAAATGGACTAGCTCTGTCTCTTCAGTATCTCAGAGATCAGAGGGATCAGTCTGTGCTGTCAGTTGTTACGGCACCTAAGGTATAAATCAGATCTGACCCTCGAATCAAAACTCTGGATTCAAATACCCCTGAACTTTGGGAAAAGTCTGGTCCACATCTGGATACACATATTAGCTGATAAGGCTAGATTGTCTGCTGGTATACATTATGTAGCCCCTTTGGATTCAACTGTGGTTGCTGCTCCACTGCACCAACAGAGAATTTGGCCCAAAAAATCATCCCATAATGTAGTCACCGCAACTGCTAAAAATGTACCAAATTGGGGTGCTAAAAATAATAACGATGGCGTAAGGATAGACTGTTCTGGTTTTGTTTTCAGGGAGAAGCGTGCATTATGGGAGCGAAACGGATCTACAGGAAACGCAAATCGGAGAAGAAGTGCATGCAGGGAAAATACGCTGGGGCCATGGCATCGGAACCATGCGTTTGCACGGAGGCAGACTTTGATTGGTAAGAAATGCAGATGGGATACAAATGTGGGATGTGCGTCTGCCCATGCCAACATGATACTCACTTGATCTGCATACAAAGGGTTAGGCTTGCAGATATCTAGAGGAGCATGTTTGGACAGGTATGTAGATCGATCACCCCCTGCTGGCGCAGGGATAAAACAAAAGCTCAGGAAAAGAGTGACAAAGATATCTGCTGGAACAGGCAGCATTAACCTCCCCTAAGAAATTGTCAGGATCAGCATTTGCAAAGGCTCCAACAGGCTGAATTGACATATCCACCCGCTGTCTAGCTCATGTCCCTATCCTGTGCAGCATGGCACTCTTTGGAGGCTGAATTGTCTAGGTGTGAACTCCTGAGCAGAGAGGCATTGTGGTTATTTTGTGTTGCCCCCAGCTCACCTCCAAGTGCCCTTTCCATTGCCAGAGGCCCTCCACCAGGATCTGTGATGGGTTGTGAATTCAACCCATAAGCTGCAACATGGACCCTAAGAGGTTCAGCTCATTTGCTATTTGCAGCCTTGTTGGATGTGTTCCTTGTTTTTGTCCTCTCTTACAATGGTGTTTTTTTTTTTTTTTGTATAAAACAGCCAGTAAAAGCCAAGACGAACACGCATAAAAACAACTGGTGCCATAAATTAACTCCGCAAGTGTAACTCAAACCCTGATAAGCTGCTTTAATGATCTCATCCTCAAAGAGCATTGTCCTCCCAAAGAGACTAGTGGCAGGAGTGCTGTGATTCTGGAATACAGGGCAGTGTGATACAACGTGTAAACATGAAAAGATGCATTCAGTGCAGCTGGGCACTGTCGTTAGCTATTCTTGTCTGGATGTGTCTTCCCAAGGATTGGGAGTGTGACTCCCTCACATCCCATTGAGCTTCAGCTGGTGTTAAGTATATTTCCGCATCATATGGTTCCTTGCGTCGCTTGGCATTTCATGCACATAGAGGTCCTGTGTCTAGCTGCATCCCAGCCCCTTTACATCACTGTGGCAGTATAAAGAAGACAGGAACCAGCCAGATCTTCCCACTGGGGAATATCATGGGTTATTGCCTGGGTGGGGTAGGACCAGTGGAATGGCCTTATCATAACCTGCCCCCTTTCCATCATAGGAGTGGGCCAGGAGCATGCTCAGGCTAAGGGGGAATTTAGGGGATGACTGGGGTGAGGCCAGGGCTCCGACTATTCTGGATTGCTGAATGTCTGTGGGGACCATAACAGCCAAGGTTTAAGTCAGAACTGCCCCTGGGGTTTACAAGCTGTAATTTACTATGGACACAGGGAGTCAGTTCTGTTGAAAATCCTCCCCCCTTCTCCCCCCCCCCCGGTGTTTTCTCTTTTCGTTGTTTATTTCCCTAAAACTGAATCCGTGGGTTTTATTAGTTGTCTTTCATTTAAACTGAAGATCTGGGGCTCCAGGCACGGCACTGCATTGTAGGACTAGGAGCAATGTGATGAAATTTACAAGAGGAAAAAAATCATATTTCTTCTACATTTACTTAAAAAAAATACCGGAGAAAACTTCCTGAGAAGAGAGAGAGTGACATCTGCTAGATTTGGTGTAGTCTCCCAAGGAAATGTTGCAGCATTGGAACCTGCAGCTTTGTTTTCCGAGCTGATCAGCACCCCCAAATCCCACTGAAATCAGTGGGAGTCAATGATGCTCGGTACCATTTGAAAATCAGGCCAGGATCCCGGTAGACATTTAAAAGTAGACTGGAGAAAACACTATTAAAACAATGCTGTGCTGACTGGCGATAGGTCTAGCTCAGCTGTGAGGACTTTCCTCACTCTTGTGACTAGGATTTTGTTGTAGCACAGATGATACAAACGTACTATCGCTGGGGCAAATATTGCTGTCCCCGCCTCGTCTCCTCTTTTTCTTTCTCTCTCCTTTTTTGAGTCATTCACTTTCTGGAATTGGATTTTGATTTTGATACATTTTGGTGTCCACACAGCCCACTGTATTGTCCTGGGGAAAAGCCCAGCTCAGCAGCAATAACTAAAATAGGCCACTTGATTTGCTTTCCTTTTAATATAAAAAGTCACTTCGTTTTACCTAGATTTCCCAGAGAAGCTTGGGAAGCCAAACAGAAAGAAATGAGTTTAGTGACTAACGGCAAGGCTTGATTTGGAGGAAGGAGGTGGCATCAGGACAGCAATTCTGCTGGTTTTTATTTCACTAGGAGGGTGGTGAAGCACTGAAATGGGTTACCTAGGGTGGTGGTGGAATCTCCATCCTTAGAGGTTTTTTAGGCCCGACTTGACAAAGCCCTGGCTGGGATGATTTAGTTGGGGTTGGTCCTGCTTTGAGAAGGGGATTGGGTTAGATGACTTCCTGAGGTCTCTTCCAACCCTAATATTCTATGGTTCCACTGATGTTGTGGCCCTTTTTTGTTATGCTAACACAGGTCAATCTTGACTTAGGATCTAAAATTGTGTGGGGGTGCTTGTGTGTGTATCTCCCCCGACCAGAGCAACAAATATGCCCTCATAAAATAAATAAAGATTTTGTAAAGCTTCTCTCCTAGAAATCTCATCCAATTTGGGGGACATTTACAATCTTTATCTAACCAAGAACAGAGAACTACTGGGTGAGGCTAGGTTGGTTGTTTCCCCCTCAACAAGGCTGAACAACCTTGGGAGTAACTTCCGGCTTTTGTGAACTCTCCTGCTAGGGAACCTCACCTGTAATTAGCTAAAGTCGAAAACATCAGGGAAAGGCAAAGGCAAAACTGCAGGTACTTGCATGGTCTGTGGCTCACAGCCAGAGGGCAATGGTGCTTCAAAAATGAAGTAAGCCTGCGCTTAGCTTCCATTCCTAAGGCAAATCCTTCCTAGCAACTGCCTAGAAACTAGATTGTACTTATTCATTTGGGTAAATAGATTACACAGCTACTCGCATGTTATTAAAGCACTAACTTACCAGTGTTCCTGACATTTTACTCCTTTCTACAGCCTGAATGCTCTCATAGCAGTATCTCTCCCGTAGCAACACCTGTAGCCACAGAAAGAAATCCTTGTTTGGGCCAATTCTTTGGTCAACTAACTTCGGGCCATTTTCTAGCGCCTCATTCCATCAGTACTCCCATTGGGCCTGATTCTCATTTACACGGAGGGGTTTAAGCTGTCTTTAGTTACTTTAAAACACGTATATTTCTGGAGTTTGCCTGGGGCCTTTAAGAAGGCTTGTCCATGTGGCTGCAGCTATAGTATCTGAGGTGAGGTGCACCACATTTAGATGAACCAAATAAGTCCTAATTAACTGATAGGTATGAAACTAATAGGACTGTATTGATATTAAAGAGTGTGTGTGTGTATATAGAAATTACTCTGAACACCTGTAGAACTAAATAGAGAATGATCTCTTTTTTTGTAGAATTTTTCAACCATTAAGTAATGGTTTATTAGCAGATATATTATTTAGGCACTTGGGGCCAGATTTTGAAAGGGGTTTTGTTGCTCAAAGATATATAAATATAATAATGTATGGAGATATACCTATCTCATAGAACTGGAAGAGACCTTGAAAGATGCAGATAGGTACCTAGTGGGATTTTCAAAAGGTGCCTATATGCCTTTAAAGATCTGCCTCTTAGATAGTACAGTGAGGGGTAGCAGTATAAAACTCTTAACATAGAATTAGATCCCTATTCTAAAGGCTGCTTTAAAAATTCTATCGAAAGGTTACCAATTTCTATTAAATTCTGTAGGACTTTTCCACAAGGGGGTTTAGCAAGGTGAGCCACACAGCTGTATGGAATTAAAGATGCCTGTATCCTCAGGTACCTTGACTCTGTGTCACTTAATGGATGTAAGGTTGAAAGGTCAAAAGGCAGGTGGCATTTTCAATTTCTGACAGCACTGACCTGTATTGTTAAGGTGAGCTGGTTAGTGTGGAGGAGATCCTGGGTTCAGGCATTAAGATGTCTCCTGATTTTGGATGAGGTGAGCGGAGTGGTCCATGGACAGGGTTATTGTTGTCTGAGTGAAACCCTAGTTGGACATTTCTATTCTTTGCAGTGATGGATTTGTTAATAGTTTTTTCTCATGTTGCATCTACATTACTGGAGGTTTGCAACTATGGTATCCCATTCTGTATGATCCTCCACTAATCTCTGTGGATGAATAGTCCTTTTGAACCACCCAGAATATCACATCATCGACCCAAGATTTTCTTTTTCTTCCTCATGTTCTTCTGCCACCAACTTTCCCTTCCATTGACCATAAAAATGCATTGTCCACTGAACCTCTTAAAATGTGCCTTGCAAATCAAATCTATCTTTTTCAGATCTGACTTTTAATAGTTTAACTTTAATTTAAAACTTTCCTTTTGTGTATGTGTGCATGTGTGTTGTGTTTTTTATATATATATATATATATATATAAAAGCGAGCGAGAGAGAAAATCACAGAAGTTGGCTGGAAGGGATCTCAAGAGATTATCTAGTCCATCCTTCTATGCTGAGACAGGACAATGTAAACTATGAAGTTCTTCTAAGATTTTCTTTTCCCTTAAATGGTACTTATAACCTTAAAGCCAGTTTGCAGAGTTGTTTTTTTGTGTGGGGAATCTACAATATTTTTAGGTTTACTACTAGTCTTTGACCATAAATACATAAAATCTTGATTGCAGGGATCTATAATTCTGCTTCTATTTACACTGCCAATTAGGTGTGATTCGAGTTAAGCCTGTGGAGGCGAGCACTATAAAACCAGTATAATTGAGAGCAGAATCAGATCTCTAATATTCATTAAAATAATCCCTTTTAATATATGCTGCACTGTCATTGACAAGCTCTCTCACCTATGCTGTTCTGAGTCTGGCACAAAATGTAGCTAGTCTGAACACCAGATGTCTGGCAATGAGGCTGCTAGTTGATTGCAGTCCATCCCTGATGCTTTCAGATTTCAGCAGTCTAGATTATGCTACGGTGATCCAATTGATGCTACTGCTTGTCAACTGCAACAAAGCCTGTTGTGCCAAACCGTAGGCAGCATTTGTTGCCATCCTCAGTGCTCTGTGTGCACCAGACAGTAGACAAGAAACTCATTAGTTTCCAAGTCTGCAAAGGGGAAAGAGGTGCTGGTGCATCCCTAGAGAGATATGGAAGAGCAGTTTATGTCATTTACTAGTATGATATTTCTGTATGTCCGTATCAAGGCAGCACAGACTCGCAAAGCTAAAAAGGTCACAGTAGAACTTCTATACTTAGGAAAACTATTTCTGCTCTGGAACATATCATTTCATTCTGTGACTTTGAGGAATATGATCCAAACGCAGCCAAACCTAGTTAATTCAGGTTTGGTCTATCCAGATGTCTGAATACAGTACCCAAATGATTTCAACTGTAATCAAACTTGTAGCGTGTGTGTGTGTGTGTAATATGAAATTACAGACCAATATTGTTGGATTAAATTGGACTTTGGATGCTGATCCCCTCTGGGCAGATTTCACTGTTAGGTGAAAAACAAAACTGACTAGGGACATGCTATGTGTAGAGTGTTACAGCTTTTTAATTATATTGACACATGATAACTCGGGAATATAGCGTTTCAACGTGGCGACAATTGAATTACAAAGGAATGAGGTCCTGTTTGTACATAAATATTTGTTCTCTCTAGGCAAATGAAAATGGTTTTACTTCTCATTAGAGAATATTTCCATAGCCCTGGTGTCCTCCTTCCAATAAGGATGATTATAGGAGCACTTGGCAGGCTGGCAAGCCTGACTTGAACTTCTAAAGCCATTAAGCAATGGTCAGTCACTGGTATGTTAGGAACTAGGCTCCTGAAAATTGAATCCTAAAAACTAAGGATGGAAAAGATCATTTTAGGTCATCTAGTCCATCACTTGGAAATTGCAGGACTGTTTCCTAGAGTATGTCCTCAATTACTTTGTAAATCCAGTTTTAAATATGCCAGGCAATGGGGCTTCCAATGCATCCCTGAAGAACACTATTCCATAGTCAACTAGACCTCACTAAGATGTCATTTTTGATATTCAGCCTACGTTTTCCTTTTGGCCAATTTCATTCCTTTACCCTTAGTTGTATCCTTTTAGACCACCTTGCACCATTTCTTTTCTAGGCCTTCAGGAATAGAGCTGGTTGAAATGTTTCAAGCTTTTAAATTTTGATGGCAAATCTTGCTGGAATTCCAACAAAAAATATTGTAAATTGTTCATGACATTTTCCTTTGCAACGTTGCTTATAGTTCAAAAGTTTAATTAAACTCAAACTTTGAAAGTCAGCATTTTGACGTCAAAGCAGGGAAAAGGTTTTCACAATTTTTACTCTTGTTTGACTATCTCTTCGTTGGAATTAAAAACAAAGCAGTCACTTTCCTGGAACACCATCTCTGGTCCAGCTACAGGAAGAACAACCTGGCTCTCTCTCTATACAATCCCGGCAACCTGGCTCCTTCCACTTCCTTTGTCTTCTGTCCTATCTCCTTTCCTTCAAGGTCTTAGCTCCCATCCAAGCCTCCTCCAATCAGTTTCTCCTCCTTGCGGTTGTAATTATCAGGTCACTTTCTACAAAGGAGAGTGGCATTTTAGAACAGGAAATCTGCTAAGAAGACCATGTTCCAAAATTTGTAAGAAGACAAACAAGAGTATTGTGTAATTAATATTCCCCATTGCAAAGCCATGATGCAACTGGATGAATATGTACAGGACAGTGTCTCAACAGCATTCCAGTTACGGTCCAAGGGGAAAATTAAAAGAAAGAAATAATTACCATTTTCCACCAGCTCAATCCTCTTCCTCCTTTTGACAGTGATAACTTCTCCTTTTCCAAACTAATGCAGGAATGAAAACAAACAAACAAAACAAAAAAAACCAGCCTTTTCTGTTCCATACCAAAAATCCTGCATGGAAGTTTGTCCCTCCTGAAAGCTTTCTCAATTTGCTTTAGGCCTCAGGTGACGTTGTGTCCAAATAATGTCAGTTTGGATTAAGCTATTCAGTTTCTAAAGCATCACTGAGTCCGCAGCAATTGAAAATTGCTGTGAGTTCTGGGATTTGCTACATTTGCGCCTGGATCTGTCTGTATCCAAGAAGCAATGCCAGACCAAGACACCAATCTAGGCCTGACATTTTACAATCTACGATTTCATAAACCACCAGGACTAGAAACAAAAGGGCTTGTTTTGCTCTTGCGTACACTGTCCTAAATCTAGGTTAACACCACTGAAGTCAAAAGCAAAACCAGAATCAGGCCTAGGTGCTGTATTTATTATATCATTTGAAGCTGAAAATGCAGGAAAGGGACCTAGAGTCATTGCATCCATATTAGTGAGGACGAGTTAACGTCTGATTTCCTTGTCAATGCATTTTCTTTCTTTTTATGGTAAAACAGTGATTATGGATATGAGCGTCACACCAATGGCCAGTGTCTACCAGCGTTTTGGTATAACCCGTCATCCTTGTCAAAAGACTGTAGCTTTGGACAGAGTTATCTCAACAGCACCGGGTAAGTGGATTTACAGAAGATGTTTTTTAGCAAATTCAACCCTGCAGCCTTCAGCCACATGGCATCTACAAGCTGTCATCCCAGAGTTATTTAAAGCCTATATTTCCTGTGACACAGGGTCCAATTCAAAACTGATTAAGTCGATAGGAGTTTTTTCATTGACTTCTTCAATGGGCTTTGGATCCGGCCCATAATTCTCTATTTTTTGTTTTTGTTTTTATTTTTTTTATTTAAATCTTCTCTGGAAAAATGATGCTACAAGCAAACTGTAGAGTAATGGACAAATGTGATCTACGGGCTTATCCAACATCCATTGAAGTCAGTGCAAAGACTGCCGTTGACTTCAGTGGACTTTGGATCATGCCCTAAATCCTGAAGAAAATCCAAGTAATCAAAGCTGAGAGTGGGATACATGCTAGAGGAAGGCAATAAGAATTGGGTTTAAATTTGAAGAAAGAGAATAATAACTCGATAACCCTTGAGAAGTTCTGAGTACTCCATGACCCTCTACAGCCCCATTAAAATCAGTGGCAGTTGCAGGTAAGGTCAATAGGAGTTGAAGGTGTCAAGTTCTAATTGCATTTGCTAAATATAAGGTGCGTAAAACATGCACAAAGAACTGACCTTAGAATATATATATAACTGATATCTTTCTATAGCTGTCTGCCAAAAAAATCTCAAAGCACTTTTCAAATGCATGGGGCCAGATCCTGCCCTCCAGCACCTTTACACAACTTCTTCTAAATTCTGCTGCTCTCCAGCTGCCATAGTCTCAGCAGCCAGTGTACAACAGAGCAGCCTGAAGGCTGCTCTATCTTGGGTCGTAGTCCAAACTGTAACCCTGCTGGGCCCAAAATTGCTGTGATAAAATACATGGACTTAAAGTTATCGGTGCGCACACACTCTCCTGAGCTGTGTTCAGCTCTAGCTCAGGTTCTGGACCATGAAATTTACAAAGTGGCCTAGTGGTAGAACTAGGAAACTGGGCTCTTGGATTCTAATCCTGGCTCTGTCACTGACTCACTCTGTGACTTCTTGATGATCTAGCTTGCCTCTCTGTAAAATGGGTCTAATAATATTGAACGTCGCTCACTGCAGTGATCCTAAGCTTCCTTCATGTGTTTTAAAAGCTCTGGGATCCTCGGGTGAAAGGTGGTTAAAAAAGTGCAAGATTGGATTGCTAGAGAGAATTGGCTCATGCCCCACTGAGAAGCAGAAAGCTCTGCAGTGCAGGACGGCAGTGGTTTAAGTGTCCAGCAAAACTTTGCAACTCTTTAGGGGAGCAATGTATGAGAATATTGTATCCAGTTGAAAATGCAACATTATGGGCTGCTTGTGCACTGTAGACCTTTGGAAAGTGTGACTGGACCACTTAGCTACAAAGTACTTAGAAGCCAGTTTGCTCCCAGCATCACCAACCTGAAGCAAATTTGAAAACTTCCCATGCCGGGTTTGAACTTGTGATTCCCTGCATCCCCTCCTTACACAGAGATCTCTCTCTTTGCAGGTACAGAAAGGTTGTGTCTAATAACTGCACCGATGGCGTGAGAGAACAGTACACAGCTAAACCCCAGCAGTGTCCTGGCAAGGCCCCCCGCGGACTGCGTATCATCACCTCGGATGGGAAACTGACTGCAGAACAAGGGCACAACGTTACTCTCATGGTGCAGCTGGAGGAGGTACGGTCTATTTTTATGGGCCCCCTTGGGCATACGTTAATCTGAATCATGCAAGCTTGCAAAGACATTAAGAGTTGAGACACTGGAGTAGGGGATTAAATCCATTTAACAATGCATCTCAGTCTGAATGTGCATGTAAGGCAATAAGTGATATAAGGCGATGATGGGACACAAAGTTTGTTTCCAGGCATCAACCACAGTTCAGAACCAGAACTTCACATCCAAACCACTTCAAATTTCAAAGATGGTGCAGGTTAGAATCTTGACACCAGCCTGTCTCCTTTGGTTTGGATTCCCAACAGGATCTGAAAGTGCAAAATGGACTGATCATTGGTTCCAATTAGATGTTGCTGCAGTTCAGCCGAAGATGGCGGAAATCTCACATACAGGTCTGATCTTATGAAATTTCCCCACTTTGAGATGGCTGAGTTTTTCTGCCATTTAGGTGTTTAGGGCTAAAATCTCCCAAGAAAAGATCTCAAGATTTCATCACGATGGAATCCAATGGTGAATATGAACCCGCCTCATTCAGCTTCCACCAGAACAAGGGTGGTCTTAAAGTCAGTCTCTCTCTCTCTCTCACACACACACACACACACACACACACACACACACACACACCCTCCTGAGCTGTGTGCAAGTTGTAGTTCAGATTCTGGAACTTTACAAAGTGGCCTAGTGGTAGAACAGAGAACTATGAATCTGGGCTCTTGGATTCTAATCCTGGCTCTGCCACTGACTCACTCTGTGACTTCTTGATGAGATAGCTTACCTCTCTGTAAAATGGGTCTAATAATACCGAACATACCTCATTGTAGTGATCCAAAGTTTAATTAATGTGTTTGAAAAGCTCTGAGATCCATGGATGAAAGGTGGTTTAAAAAAAAAAATCCTGTATCCTCAGCACATTTCTAATCTGCAAGTACATTTTCTCCCAGCCTGGCTCCTCTTGTATCTAAAGTATTTTATTAAGTCATTGGAGAGAATCCATGAAATCTCCCATCCTGTTTTCTCTGCTCCCTCACTGATTTTCTCACTGTCCAGATTGCCTTTTCCTCCCCCTTCCCTTGTCTCATTTGGTTTCCTTTGTGGTTTGGCAAGCAAGTCCTAAACACTGATATGTATTTACACAAAAACACAAAATGCATGGCGGCTTACAGGGACTAACTTGGATCGCCGTGGTGGTGGTTTCTGATTTTTGTATAGTGATATCCTAGCCAATATAATGAGGAAAATCTGATACTGTTGGGGTCGGTGGTTAAAAGTTGTAGGTGTTGACTAAGGCTTTACGGCACCTTTTCCTTCTCTGAACAAACTCGCATACTGATTTGCAAAGGAAGCAGCATATAACAATCTGATGTGCTTTGGTGCATCTAAATGTTCATTCTCTGAAAAAAAAAATGACAAAAACAATTCATATTTTTGATAAAACTCACTCCCCCTCCTTTTTGTCCATTTTGCCACTGATAAGGGGAATTAAAGGAAAGAAAAAGGAGAGAAAGTAGGCAAAAACATTAACTAAACAACCCAAACCAAAACATTCACAGTTTTCAGTTTTATTCATTGAAATATGGGAAATTTAAAAAAAATAATAATTTTTTTTGAATTTTTTTTTTTGTTTGAAAAACTCACATTTTTGGTCAAAAATAAAATGTTTGGAAAATTTCAACCAGTGCTAGCTACCGCTGATGCTCTCTCTAAAAATGCTAGACACATGAGCTGCACAACGAGCCTTAATTTGTTTGGCCGCTGAAGTGGTAGGAAAAAACTGACCAGCTACAGCTCCTTTGGTTTCACTGATGCAGAAAGAAACAATGAAATGCTTCTTGCGCTGGGACATGGGTGCTCCTGTCAGCTGCGAACCTGTTTTCAGTTGCTCACCACTGTTGCAAATGGTGGAGCTATCAAAAGGGGATAAGAGAGTTACTTGAAAGCATCCTGAAAAGTCAAGCTGCTTTCAGTAGGTCTGGCTTTGTGTGAGGAGCCTTTTAATCTTAGGCCTTGTCTATACATGCACATTGTACTGCTTTAAGTATATTGGGTCAACGGACTCAGTACAACCTTCCTAGTGTGGATGCAATTATGCTGGTATAAAGGTTTTTATACTGGTATAGCTTATTTCCCTAAGTTTTGGTGAATCGAGTATACGGCTATAAGGCAGCATAGGTATAGTAGGGATTGTACCCATTTAACTATTTCTGTAAAAGTCACATCCCTAATGCAAATAGTTAAATAGGTACCAAAGCTGTACATAGGCAAGGCCTTAGATCCATTTCCTTCCATTGCAGATGAGAAGTAGGTATCAAAAACAAAGAGTGTTCTCTGGTTAGCTGTTCACATCAGAGGAGGACATCAGGCATGTCAAAACGAGCTGGATAATGTGGACGTGCATATGTGATTTTGCTCGAGGACATGTGAATTAGTGCACCCAGAGACAAAGACAGGCCAGTCCCTCAGTTCCGGAGGTGATGGCCAATGATTTTAATGACTAAGCTATCCAAGATGGACCAGTTTCTTCACATGGGCCACATTTTCAACTCTTGTGAGGTAAAAGACAGACAGAGACCTTTTCTCATGTCTTCGGCCCTTCGGAACACTGCTGCTTTAGCGCTTCCCCGGCTCTGAGATGTAGATAGTTACCCTACATACTGTACCTTTCCAACTCTGTGTTCATACTCCAGTTCCATTTGACACAAGAGGACTAACAGTGAGGACAAGAAAGCTATGAAGCTGACGAGCAAAGAAAAGATCTGCTGAGACCTGTACAGCTGTTAACTTTCTAAGTCTAGTTGCCCTCTCTAAGGAACAAGCTGAGACTGAGTAGAAGAGAGGAGAACTCATGGTTATCCCTGAAAATTCAGTTAGTCTCATAGGTCAACACAACAGCAGAACAAGAGGAAGGAAAGAGCAAATGCTAGCAGTGAAGAGTATGGTGTCTCCACAGAAGCACATGATGAGAATCAGAAAAAGGTTTCATAGCGCTGGGTCTTGTTATCCTCACAGAGATGATCAAACTCAACAAAGTGGAATATGACTTTCTGATGCTGTAACAATGTCACTGGGAGGAACAAGGAAAAACAATTCAAAAGCAGCCTGTGATCATATGGGACTCAGAGAGAGGAATATTGGTGAATCTGTGGTTAAGCACTGACAGTCACTGAGCTAGTGAAGAGGTAGGAGAACCCCGAAAGGTCTGTCTCTTCTTCCCAAGATCTGGGAGCAAGTGTTTCTAGTCCATCAGCTGATATAAATTGCTGTAGCTCAATTGATGTCAGTAGAGCTATGCTGATTTCCACTAGGCGAGGATCTGGCCCCATTCGTTTTTTACACCGAAACTCGTGTGCCTGTGATGGGGCAGATGGCCCCACACTGGCAACAAGGAGGTTAATGAGAGTCTCTGGATCCAGTTGGCCCCATCACGCCTGCAGCAAATGTCAGGCATCAAGAAGAGAGTTAAAAGGAGGAGATCTAGCTCCGTCAAGGGCTGCCTAGGGCAGAGTTCTGCTTCTACTGGTGTGAGAGACTGAACTATCCTGCTGGCTGGACGAGTCCCTGCTAAAAGGGACAACCAGACCCCAGGGGATCAGCAGAAGCACAGACTGTTTGGAGACAAGCCCTGAATAGAGGGGCAGGGCTCCACTGACAGTCCGTTGGATGATTCCATTATGACTTGGGGGGGGGGGGTTGTCCCTCATTTCCTTTGGTCCTTATCACCCCAGATGGGGCAGGACTGAAGTTTGCCTTGGCTGGACGGCCAAAACACTGCTACCTTGGACCTCACAGCAGCCTACCAGTGGAGACCTGGGGGGAGTCAGGCCCTGATGGGCCACTAAGGGGTGCTGCAGAGGCAACCCAGTCACAATGCCATTTTCCTGGAGGTGACTCTGAGGTGGCCACATTTTTCGTATACACATATTTTAATGACTGGTCTCAACTGACCTGTGCTTTCTAAAGAAAGGTAAATGTTTCCACGCATACCTAAACACCAGTTCTCCTGTTACTTGTTACTTGCTACTTTGAAATGTTCCAAGAATCAACTTGTGTACAACTTATTAATAAATGTTAATAAAATCAACTTGAAACCAGCATCCTTGAACTTGATTATGGTTGAGTTTATTTGACTTTACATGTAGTCATCCAAATATTCTTCTTGGAGGAAAACGGCAAGAAACCATCAATAAGCATCATTATTAATCGCTGGCCTTAGGCCCTAATTCAGTAAAGTGCTTAAGCATGCACTTAAAGATAAGCATGTGCTTTGCTGAATCAGGACAGACTTAACTTGTTTAAAGTTAAGCATATGCTTAATGATTTGCTGAACTGCGAGTCTTATGAAGGAGCATTCTACAGATAGACATGCACAGGAATTCAGTGGAACATCTCCCATAAAGAAATGTCTTCAAGGACACATTTTTGGATGCAAGTGGAAAAGTGCCATGGGGGGAAATGGGTGAATCTGCATAAAGACTGTGTAAAGCACATTTTAAAAAACATTCATTCAGGAAGACATCCCGACAGAAGCAGTGTCTGCCTGTTGCAGTGGATAATTAAATCCGTTTTAAACATCTGTAAGGAAAAAGAGACGCAAGCCAATGCATAATTGAAGACTTTTAAATTAAATCTGAGACATGGGACTAAAATTAAAAACTTTGAGCTGTATCTCATTGTTTTAATACTTCAATCTACATACAAAGACTAGCACTTAATACGGAAAATTCATGATTACAACCTTCTGGGTGAAATTTAAATGGAAAGCTGGAAGGCTGCATTCTTATTAGATTGATTGGGATGGGCCATAATCTCCCATATACCAAAATTCTAATGGCAGTCTAAAAGTAATCAAAGTGTAATAATATTTTGCAAACAGCATGGCATGTTGCTAACAAACGCTGAAGTGAAAAGATTCAGAGAGCTTGCTGAAAGCATTTAGGTCCTGGGTTTGTTCTAGATTTTTTGCAATAAATAGGTAAGTTTGGTGTGGATAAAAAAGGTGCTGTTATAGGTGTGTTTAAATCCCAAAAGGTCGGGTTTTGTTAGTCAATAGAGTGTCTTTGAAAACTTAATTATTATGTCAAAGTGCTTTTATTTTTTAATGGTCTGGTTCTCAAGACATGGGTCTGGGCCTTGGAAGATCTGGATTCAACTCCTAGCTCTGCCACAGGCTTCATTGAGTTCAGTAGACCTACTCATGTGCTTAAAGCTAAGCAGAGGCTTAAGGGCTTTGCTAGATCAGAGTCTATATTAGGATTGCAATGTACCATCTGAAGGCTACACCACACCTTGTAGGTAACACAGACATTAAATCAGGTTAGCAATGCCAACCCAAAAGATTGCCCTTTCCCTGGCTATTATAACAGGTGTCTGCCTACCCCAGCGTGACTAATATACAGGGACTGAATTTAGGGGACCTAACGTTAGCTGGCCACCTTCGCAGATTGTGACCATGCATTCTAAGAGAGTTTGCATTACAGACCTCTAGAGATGGTATTGGAAGATGCTGCTTGTTCAAGAAGTTGGACTTGGGTTAATGCTCATTGCGTTGATGCCCATTTGCGAAGCCACAGGAGAAGTGCACTGGGCTTACTGTCCACTTTACTTGGGTTCTGCAGATCCATATCATCTACCACTGTGCTTGTCAACATGCTGAGTACACGCTGGAAAGGGCAGCGGGGAAGGCTATAGCAAGAAGGGTTGGGGGAGTTGGGTGTTTTATTTTTGGTGCCAAGTGTCAGGGATGAAAGCCTGCAGCAGAGCGAGGTTCTGGGCAACCTAATAAGCACCGCTGGCTTTTAGACTGCCGGATTTATTACACCGCAGTCCACCTGATTGGTTGGAAGAGTCAGCAAACTGGCTCTTAAACCCAGCAGCAGCAACAGTTCAGCAGCTGCTAAAAGCATTTGCCCACAGCCACGATAGATCCTGCCTTGTTCCAGCCTTGCCCGTGCCCTGCTTCATTCCACTTAGCCTGGTTCTGACTCTGGGCTCTGATTTCTGACTTCAGCTCTGACCCTTGGCTCTGGCATCTGGCCTCTGACTCAGTCTCTCATCTTGGGCTCTGATTCCTGGCTACTGACGCCTGCTCTAACCTCTAGACGTGATGTCTGCTCTAACCAGTAGGCCTGCCCACACACATCCCAGTCACTGACGTAAGGAAATGTCATATTGTTGCAAAAATCTCTCTCGATAATACCACTGTTTGCAAACTACTCTTGGGAGCTGCTTGTACACAGCAATATGGATTTGCTGTGGGTCTCCCCTGTCCCCAGTTCAGCAAAGACCTTACACAAGTGATTAACTTCAAACATCTGCTTAAGTCACATTGGTATTAATGCATCTTCAGATTTTTTAAAAGTCAGATGAGACCATTGTGATCATCCTGCATAACACAGGCCAGAGAACCTCACCTAATTCCTGTATCTCACCCAGTAATTCCTACATCTAGGAGGAACCCACAGACTCATAGACTTTAAGGTCAGAAGGGACCATCGTGATCATCTAGTCTGACCTCCTGCACATCACAGGCCACAGAACCTTACCCGCTCCTGAAATAGACCCTTAACCTCTGGCTGAGTTATTGAGGTCCTCAAATCATGGTTTAAAGACTTCAAGTTACAGAGGATCCACCATTGACACTAGTTTAAACTGCAAATGACCCATGGCAAATGTTGCAGAGGAAGGCAAAACAGCCCCAGGGTCTCTGCCAGTCTGAGCTGAGGGGGGGCTTCCTTTCTGACCCCAAATAAGGTAGTCAGTTAGATCCTGAACATGTGGGCAAGACCTGCCAGGCAGACACCTGGGAAAGAATCCTCTGTAGTAACTCAGAGCCCTCCTGTCTAGTGTCCTGTCTCCAGCAGTTGGGGATTTTTGCTACTGGCAATCACCAATGGGTCAGATGGCATTTTAGGCAATCTTATCGTACCATACCTTCCATAAACATATTAAGCTCAGTCTTGAAGCTAGTTAAGTTTTTGCCCCGACTGCTTCCCTTGGAAGGCTGTTCCAGAACTTCACTCCTCTGATGGCTAAAAACCTTTGCCTAATTTTGAGTCTAAACCTGTTTATAGCCATTTGTTCTTGTGTCCTCATTGGTGCTTACCTTAAATAACTCCTCTATGTCCCTTGTAGTTATCCCTCTGATGTATTTATAGAAAGCAATCATATCTCCACTCAGCCTTCTTTTGGTTAGGCTAAAGCAAGCCAAGCTCTTTGATTCTCCTCTCAAAGTAGGTTTTCCATTCCTCAGTTCATCCTGGTAGCCCTTCTCTGCACCTGTTCCAGTTTGAATTCATCTTTCTTAAATATGGAAGACCAGAATTGCACACAGTATTCCAGATGAGGTCTCACCAGTGCCTTGTATAATGGTACTAACACTTCTCTGTCTCTACTGGAAATACCTCGCCTGATGCATCCTAGGATTACATTAGCCTTTTTCATGGCCGCATCACATTGATGGCTAATAGTCCTCCTGTGATCAACCAATACACACAGGTCTCTCTCCTTCTCTGTCACTTCCAACTGATAAATCCCCATCTTATAGCAAACATTCTTGTTGTTAGTCCCTAAATGTCTGACCTTTCACTTAGCACTATTAAATTTCATCCCATTTCTAGACATCCAGTTCACAAGGTCATCTAGATCTTCTTGTGTGATATTCCGGTCCTCCTCCATATTGCCAGTACCTCCCAACTTTGTGTCATCTGCAAATTTTATTAGTGCACACTCACTTTTTGTACCAAGGTCAGTAATAAAATGTTAAATAAGATTGGTCCCAAGACCGATCCCTGAGGAACTCCACTAGTAACCTCCCTCCAGCCTGACAGTTCACCTTTGAGTATGACCTGGTGTAGGACAGAGGACAGGATACTGGGCTTGATGGACCTTTGGTCTGACCCAGTATGGCCATTCTTATGTTCTTATGAAGGCTGGCCTACAACAGCCACTGACTGTTTCTATATGTATTGTCAGCCTGTTGAAAATGGACCATACTGGATACAACACCATAGCAGTAAGATGAGAGAATTCCATTGATGTTTCCAGAGCATGAGAACCAGGGTCTCCCCGCAAGCATGTGTTTGAGTCACATCTCCGCTCCTTGTCCTTTTCAAAGAGCACCGGCTTATCAAAAATGCTATTGGTTGGTAAAGCCATGTGTAAAGACACACATCCGCGTGGGTCCTTTGGGTTTTAGGTTTGTTCATTTCCTCTGCCTGTTCTTACACAAAGAGCTCCCGTCTGAGTGTCTTGGACGTGGAGCTCATCGGGGCTGTGTGAATGTAATCAGGCGCAGACTCACCCAGCGGCGCCTCCTGCTGGTTGTCCTCGGGAATTAGCTCTTCCAGCCTCCGGAGCGCCCTCTGCAGGCCGGTGATCCACCTTCTCGCAGGCCCCCGTGTCCCTCCCAGGACCCGGTGCCCCTTTCTCTGGGGTGCTGCCCCTCTGGCAGTAACCCCTCAGTCTTGGGGTCTCCCCACGCACGGGAAGCGCCCCACCCACTATCCCCACGTCGCCTCAGTCTTGGCTACTGCCAGTCATCACTTGGCCCCCGTTCTCTGGGGCAGACTGCAGTATATCAGCCACTCACCACAGGCATAGGGGTTTGGACCTGCTGCCTCTGGCTATCCGTGGGCTGCCCCCTGCAACCCAGTACCTAATAGGCCTTACCCTAGGCCTGCAGCCTGGGGGGTTTCCAGGCTGGAGCGCCCCAGCTCCTCCTGCCTTCCCCTAGCCCTGCTCCACCTTAGGTACCCAGGTACGCTCCCCCGCAGCCAGGCCCTTCTCCCTCTAAAGGCAGAGAGAGACTGTTTGCTCCTGGCTTCCCTGGCCTTTATAGGGCCTGCTGGTCTGTTTGGGGCGTGGCCACAGCTGAGGCTGTTTCCCCCCTCAGCCTGGGCTGTTCTCCCAGCCCTCTCCCAGGGCTGGTTTTATCCCTGTCAGGGCTGGAGTGGGTAGCCCCCCCGCTACAGCGTACAAAAAGCAAGTTCATCCGCTAGGGCGGAATATCACCCCCCCATAACAGGCTTTCTCCGGGGTCTCCGCTCTTGCATGGAACATGGAGCTCCTTGCTGTGGTTTTTGCTGCTGTGCTTCCTTTTTGATTTTTAACGATCGCCAAAAGTGCCAGATAGGCAGCCCAGGGGACGAATCTCCTCCGCTTTCCCCACCGAACAGCTGCGCAAGGCAGACCCTACACCTGCCCTGCTGGGATCGTCTCTAGGCAGGGGGAGGGGAGATTAGTCACCAGGCCTGTTCAGTCCTCAGCCTGCCCCTGCTGACCCAGCCAACACGGGGACCAATTAGTGCTGGTGGGTTTTATGAGTAGTTGAGAGCTTGCAGCTCATTTCAAACAGGCCACAGTACAGCTCTCAGCCAGGTAAGTCTCATTACGAGCCAGGGCTGGGTTCCTCCAGCCCGACAAGTGAAAGGGATCACAGGCTGTTGCAAAACCTCTGAACCATCCTGAGTTGCTCTCTGAAATCACTTCCTGTAGCTGTACAGCCTAATCTTCTCCCCGCTCTGAAGTCCGTGGGAGTAGGTTCAGGCCACTAGTGAGGTCAAGTCAGAGAAGAGTCGTTTTCCTTATTGACTCCTTCCCCATTGTCATAGGGCGACGTCCAAAGGATGATCATTCAGGTGGATTTTGGAGACGGCATCGCCGTGTCCTACGCCAATCTCAGCTCGATGGAGGACGGGATCAAGCACGTCTACCAGAACGTGGGCATATTCCGAGTGACCGTGCAGGTGGAAAACAGCCTGGGATTGGACAGCGCTGTCCTGTACTTACATGTAACTTGTATGTTATTACTGTGTTTGGTTTACAAAATATCTTAAAGAAACATTACATTCTTTAGAGACGATTCAGGAGGCTCCCTGTCTGAGAGGAGACCTTCTGAGACATGTGCAGAGAGAATGAACTTTTGTCCTTCCCCAAAAGGAGAGCCGGAGAATCCAAAAACTATTCACAGATAATGGCTGAGATTTAAAAAAAGGAAAAAAAAGACTCCTCATTTTTAGTTCCTCAAATTTCAGGTTCCCAGCTTGAGATGCCTTAAAGAAAGGGATCTGATTTGCAAAGGGCGGGTGCTCCATGCTTTCTGAAAATTAGGCTCCTTTAAGATGTCTCAAATTGGATAGCCAAAAATTGAGGCATCCAGAATCGCTGGCCACTTTTAAAAAGTTTGGCCTGTATGTATACATAGGGATCACGTGTCCACTGCTGAAATGCTGCCACTTCTGGGGTGGAAATCACCCTTTCTATCATGATGGAAACCAAATTCCTGAATCTGGAGACAGTTACGAGAAAAACAGTATCTTCCACTGCTTTTCTTTCTAACCTCCTTATATCTCAATGGCTGTCCATTTAAAGCTCAAATTTTCCTCTGCCCCTAGATAGAGTTTATGTTATTTCCCTTTTATTCTGGTTAAGAATTGGTCCAAGCCACAAAGTTCTGACCCATGTTTGAACTTTCCCAGAGTTTTCCCGAAGGTTTAGCTCCAGGATTCGGTGTGGGGGCTTGGGGGGCAGGGAGTTGTGGGTTTTTTTTTTATTGTACATGCATGTTATTTAGAAAGGAAGTGTTAAACCCTGGAAATATGGCTACCTGACACTTTTTTATAGCATACTTCCTTCAGAGGATCCCAAAGCATTCAACAAGTTCTATGCACAGATTGCAACTTCGAGGTTGCTTTATTCACCAGGAATGCAGCTGTCCCTGGGGTGCAAGACAGCAGCTGTTTAACAGTGCCCAGCAACACTCCAAACAGGGCAGAGTGAAGTATAATCCTATAGTTACAGAAAACTGCAGCTGGAACATTGGGGCTTACAGCTTTTCTCTTGTGAAAGGTGCCATGGTAGATTTAAGGTGAGCTTTTTCAAAAGCCACCTGAGGGACTTAGGAGTCCAAGTCCCACTGAAGGGCTTTGGAAAATCACCCCTCTTAATGATCACAGGTGGTCAGGAACCCAGTTTTATGCCTCATGTGAAAGATGGCACTTGCTGCAGCACAGCACTTCCTAGCATCATCCTGGGGCATTGAATCCAAAAATAATGCCTTAGAGGAATGAAACTCTTAAACTACTCTATAACTTGGGGTTCACATTTTGGGACTTAAGCCATGTGGTTCCTTATGCTGAGGCCTGGGCAGTTTGAGGGAATTTCTCAGTTTTGGGGCCAACGCTGAGGTGTTTTTTTCTTAGCTGGCAGAATATTTTGCCCTTGTATAGGGCCAATGACCCCTATTGCAATTGGACAGACAGAGGCTTTCTTTTGTTTTTGTTTTTAATGGAGATATCCTATCTCCTAGAACTGGAAGGGACCTTGAAAGGTCATTGAGTCCAGCCCCCTGCCTTCACTAGCAGGACCAAGTACTGATGTTGCCCCAGATCCCTACGTGGCCCCCTCAAGGATTGAACTTACAACGCTGGGTTTAGCAGGCCAATGCTCAAACCACTGAGCTATCCCTCCCCCCTCTGTAAAGGCAAAAGATGCTGTGTTCGAGTTTTGCTTAACCCTCCTATGCAGCGTTGACTGATCAGTCGTGGTGTGGGTTTGGCTCTCAAGACAAACAGCTGGCTACACCTCGTTCTCTGAGAAAAAGCCGTTCTTTGCTCCCTCTGAGCCTCCCCTGCCAGCTCCTGTTTATGGATAAGTCAGCGGATTGCAAGCCAGGGGTTATTTCTAATAGCTTGTGAAGATCCCTGGAAACAAATGGAGAATTGTTTCGGTGGGCAGGTCTACACTTACTTCCTGGTCTGGCCGTAAGCAATCGATCTTCTGGGATCGATTTATCGCGTCTTGTCTAGACGCGATAAATCGATCCCAGATCGATCCCGGAAGTGCTCACCGTCGACGCCGGTACTCCAGCTCGGCGAGAGGAGTACGCGGCATCGACGGGGGAGCTTGCCTGCCCCGTCTGGACCTGCGGTAAGTTCGAACTAAGGTACTTCGAATTCAGCTACGTTATTAAGGTAGCTGAATTTGCGTACCTTAGTCCGAAGTGGGGGGGTAGTGTGGACCAGGCCAGTGGTAATATTTCCAGGGAGGTTCTGACAGCTTCCCGCACACAGGCTTTGTAATCAGCTGCAGCTTAACAAGAGGAGTTTTCAAAGGGATGATCATCATTGTGCTCTTCTTGTTTGCAAACTAATGAGGCCACATGATACAATAGCTGTTTTCTTATGCAGGCCACAAGTGGACAAGAGAAAGCAGTTGTCTAACTCAGCCACCGGCACTAATTAGCTGTCTGGCCAGCTGATCTAAGGAGTCTGTAGTCTTTGGACACTAGAAAATGGTACTTTAAAAGGTGGCCTTTGTATCTTTTTTGTGAGACTAGATACAATTTTCAAAATGGCCCAAGTGACTTAGGGGCCTCAGTCATGTAAGCAATTTAGCAAAAAAATATTATTTGGTAATAGAAATAAGCCCAACATTCACCAGAATCACTTAGATATTCTGAAATGTCATTAAAAGTCTCCATGCCATAAGGGTTTTCTGATGGGCCGTTCATTGGGGCGTGCCCATATCACATTAAATTCACCAGTATAATATACATGTCATATCTAATCTATTTCACTCACCACTCATTACCCTTGGCACTTCCCTGACCCTGCAGCAGTCTCTGTGCAGACCTGGTCCCCTTGGGTCAAGGTGGAATAGCATTAATTTGCTCTAGCTATTAACAGCTGCAAACAGCCACAGATGGCTGGAAACAAAGCTCATTCAAGGGGAAGGAGGGACATTTTCGCCACACATTTTCCTATAGGCCCCAGTTCCCCTGCTATGCCAGCTGCAAGGAATTGGCATGGCATAAGAATCCTTCCACCTACTCTGCACCACTAGAGAATCACCTTTGCACCGGAGTGGGACTGTTTAAACTGGCCTGAGGCCCAGATTACACCAGCGGTGAGAAACCAAGGATCAGGAGAGAGCGCAAAGGTGAGCGTTATGCCTGTCGGGGCATGCTCATACAGCAGGCTCTGATTGTAAGCCATTTCTCTAGCATCAAGGCCATCTACGAGTCATCTCAGCAGGCATTTAAGGTCAGCAGCAAACTTATTCAGTCTGTTGCTTTAACTCTTTAAGATGATGTAGCCGGTTAAAGAGATTCTTTAGGTACAGGCCAGCCCTACACAGGTTATGTTCTCAGTACCAATTCTGTGCACCCAAAGAGTCTTCTAGGGGCACGGACGGTGTTTTGGGGCAAGAGGCAGAGTTGTAGTAATGAAATGGCTCATAGACCGCATGTAAAACTTGGAAGTGCAATTCTCTTGTAATTGGACAAGCGTTCTCTTCCTCTCCCATACACCTATATGGAGTGATACAGCACCACCTGCTGTTCAAGCAATGCACTCCAAACAGCACGTCCCTTTTCTCCCGTTGTATATTGGAATGCAGATTTTAAAATAATATGGGCCTGGGTGGATGAGCCTTTCTTTTTCTATCATAACAAGGAAGCAGTGAAGGCCTGAAAGGGCATTAAAGACTCGATGCAGCGCCGGGCCCTTTGAGAGGCCTTCTCAGCACTACTACATCCAACAGTGCACGAGTTAAGCTAGCATCAGTGAGAACTAGGTGTTGGAGCTGATGCAGTGCATGGTCCTGCTCCTAGCTCTACCACCGCCACTTCTTTGGATGCTTGACATTCTGCCTCCTTTGCTCCTTCTGCTGCCCCCTGGACACTTAGTGAGTACAGAACAAGGCCACCTCATTTGAAATGCACATAGGGCTGGATAATGATTAATTTCAGTTCTCACCCCCTACCTGAGACTAGACATAACCAGCGATTTCCCCTGTGGCTGTGGATTCTGGTCGGGGAATACTTTTGACAATATACAGAGGTGTAGGACAAAATCCTGCAGCGCTTCCGAAGCGTGAGAAAAACAGGAGCATTCAGCCACTTCTGGAGGTGTGGCGGGGGGTTCATCAGCAGCCATCAGAATAAAGATTACCCATAATCCTGGCCTGCAACAACCCGGTGGTGGTCTGATCCTGAATGCCCCTGGATCGTATGGTTGTGGTGTTAAATAGTTGCCGTGTTTCTACCCCAGAGAAGGCTGCATTTCAGGGGTGTGTCATGGAGCCACATGCTCCACCTGGTGCACAGTCATTGACACCTTCTGAGCTGGTAGCTTCTTACACCTTCTCTGAACAGGTGTAAAAAGTGAGGAATCCTCTGGTGATCCTTGTGGGTGAATAACGCTCTATAAATGATGCTATATATATGTGTGAAGTCATTTGGGAAGTCCTGGTGTCAAATATCGACTCCTTTAGTAGAGCAGCCAGATCACGCATGGATATTGAAATCAGTCCAGAAGTGCCCATTTCAGTGTTTGGAGCCCCTGGGTACGGAATTTGAACTGAGCCTGTATTGGAGAACTGTGCCCCCAAAGTATCTTGTGGTTCTGTTGTCCTGTCTCTTGCTCCATCTCTTTAAGGACCACACTTCTGTTCTCCAGAAGAACGATAGTGACACGCACAGAAAGCAATCCATAAAACAAGTTGTGATTACAGACCCACGCCTCCCCATTTTCCCATCATAAGTGGGAGAAAGGAACAGCCAGGGCGTGTTTCAAAGTAAATGTTATTTGTCCATTAAACTACAAAACTTGGCTACGCTAATGAAATAAAAGGCACAATGTAGATGAGAGAAAAGGACCACAGGGGAGAGGAAAAGTGAGAGTTAAGAAGAAGGGATACATGGGATAGATGCTTTGGTGGAGGCCCTAAACTGGTATAAATCCATGTAGCTCCATTGACGTTCACAAAGCGATACCAATTTACAGCACCTGATATCTGGCTCTTTAGGAATGGATCCAAGTATTTATAATATTACTATACTTCTATTAATGCTTACTCATGAAAATTCTAGTGTCTTCCCAGGGTAGCCCACCCAGTGTGACTCTGTCCCCCTCTAGTGGGTAGTCCATGTATATAGATTTATGAGTTTGCTACAGCCTTTGAGCTGGAGAGGTGGAGTTCTTTAGTTCAGGTAATAGCAATTCCTGGTTTTAGATGCATGGGTCCCAAATGTCTTTCCTCAGCAACAGAACAAAGACAGAATGCTTTTACATGTGGTGCCCCACATGACTTTCCTCTTTATTGTCTCATTTGGAAAGCTGGAGGATCCAGTGTCAGACCCACATTTTGATGCCTAAGAGAAGGCGCTCACCCTAGTTGCCACTTCTTCTATCTCCGCAGGCCCCCTGGAACATGTTCATTTGTCTCTCCCGTTTGTTACTACCAAGAACAAAGAGGTCAATGCTACGGCGGTACTGTGGCCCAGCCAGGTGGGCACGCTGACTTACATTTGGTGGTTCGGGAACAACACCGAGGTTTGTATGCCCCTACAGAACCGTAGCAAACTGTCCCGGGAGGAATAATGTGTCCGGGAGTGGGCGGGGCCTGTGAATACTCTTGAATATTGAATACACCCATTACAAATCAGAGCAGTCAGGATTCGGCACATTACTCTAAAACAATAGGAACCTAGGCATGCCAGTCTGGATCAGCTCCATCTAGTCCAGGGCCTTGTCGCTGACAGTGGCCAGCACCAGGTGCTTCAGAGGAAGGTGTAAACTACCCCACAGTAGGGAGATGTGGGATAAACTCCCCTCCCCTATCTATGCAAATCAGCATTTTTTTAACTACTTAGCTATCTCTGTGTAAGGATCATTTGAATTTTATGCAAATTCCTAACCCCCCATTGAATAATGCGGAGGGGATCTGATTGCAAAGTAGGCTAAAAAGTTTTTTTTTCTTTCTTTAACTAAAATACAAATTTGACACTTTTTACAAAACTAACTATCTGCGCTGAAGTTTTCTGTTCATCTGGAGCTGCCTCTGTATAGCCCCAGGACTTAAACCCTGTTCCCTAGTCTATGTGGAGTGCATGACTAACAAGAAGGAAAACTTTTTGTTAATAACGCCAACGCTTACCCTCTAAACCAATGCAAAGTTCTCATTTTGTCTGTTAAACTATGTATGCAAGAATTCTTCATTACCACACTCTGGGGGATGCAAAATAATACACAATACATGTATCTGCCTACGGACGCTACTTACCAGAAATAGAGCACATACAACTTTCTGCTGTCTCTTTAGTTAGGATGCTTGCAAATCTCACCAGGTGCTTTGTAATTGTTATTTATCTGTATTGCAGAAGTACCCAAAGGCCCCAATTAGATTCATAGATTCGTAGATGGTAAGGTCAGAAGGGACCATTAGTTCATCGCATGTGACCTCCTGCATAGCAAGGCCATATAATTTTACTCTTTAATCCCTACATTAGCCTATGTCTTGTGACTGAACTGGAGCATAGCTTTAGATAGCCATCCGATCTTGATTTAAAAACATCAAGTGATGGAGAATCTACCACAAGTTGTTCCAGTGGTTAATTACCCTGTTTAAAATTGCATCTTATTTCTAGCTTGGATTTATCTAGCTTCAGCTTCCAGTCATTGGAACTTGTCATGCCTTTGTCTGCTAGATTGAAGAACCCTGTAGTATCAAATCTTCTCCCCCGTAGGTACTTACAGACCGTTATTGTCACCTCTTACCCTCCTGTCTGAGAAATTAAGCGTATTAGTGACTAGTGCTGGCCGAACGGCTCCCATTGAAGGGGAGTTTTACCATTGACCGCAATGGGAGCAGAGTTCGACTAACTCTGGATGCTTTTGAAAATCCAAACTAGTAAAGGAATATGGGAGGTTATGGCAGCGGCTGCTGGATGAGGTCGGAAAGGCCAGTACTGCAAGCACTGGTGTAGTGTCTTAACAAACGTAAATGGTAGCCTAGAGTTCCTGGAGTGGAGACATTGTGTAACCATGAGCATCTCCTTCAGAGAAATGGCAAATGTGTAGGAGGCCCATATCTGCCCTAAACCCTTCATTCTAGTAACAGTGGTGTCCTGGAAGCTACCGTAGGCTATTGAGGGAGAAATCTGGGTCTGTCCCCACCTCTGTTACCGACTCTGTGTGACCTGGAGCAGGCCGCTTTGTTCCTCTCTGTGTCGGCTCCCCAGCTGTACAATGGGGATAATGGTCTTTCCTTCCCATTGGCTTGTTCAGACTGTAAGCCCTTTGATGGCACCTTATTTGTACACAGCACCTAACGCAATTGGGCCCTGGTCTTGTTTGTGGCCTCTTGGTGCTACCGTAATACAATTAATAGAAGAGAGTTCTAAATGATGGATTTTTTTTTATTTCCATCCAAAAAAAACCTTTTAAGATCTCTGGTTATAAACCTAGGATGGAGAAACCAGTCAAGGAGTAAAGAGTCTCTCAGTCATCCTCCCCCGTAGATCCAACACACCATATGCCTAACCTCCCTCCTGTTTGGAGTAGCAGAGGTAGGACTTCTGGAATCAGGAAGGTCAGATGGCAGCCTAATTCCCCCTTTTCTCATGTGTTTGCAGCCACTGGTCACCCTGGAGGGGAGCATCACATTCACATTCTCTGTGGAAGGGATGAACACGATCACGGTACAGGTCTCGGCAGGGAACACCATTCTGCAGGACACAAAGACTATTGCAGTGTATGGTGAGCCCTTACCCCTTTATTTTTCTGTTATTTCCCTCCAGCAAAGCAGTGGTGGCATCGCTCAGCACAGGATGAGAATATAGCTGCATAGATGTACCCACAACAGTGTGCTGTGTTTGTGACACATCAGTAGTTCCTACAGCAGCATCCTGGACCCAACTCTTATTAAAAAGAGAAGCCTAGCAGTATTGCTCCAAAATGCATTAGGGCAGATTCTGTTCTCAATTACACTGTTGTAAATCCGGAGTAATTTCTCTGAAGGCAATTGGAGTTAATCCAGATTTACACCAGTCTCAAGAGGATTAGAATCTTGCTCGGCATTTTACAGTAGAGCCACTTCTAGATGATTATTGCACAGTAGAACCTCAGATTAGTGAACATCAGAGTTATGAACTGACCAGTCAACCACACACCTCATTTGGAACCAGAAATAGGCAATCAGGTAGCAGCAGAGACAAAAAAAAAAAAAAAAGCAAATACAATACAGTACTATGTTAAACATAAACTACTAAAAATAAAATAAAGGGAATGCAGCATTTTTCTTCTGCATACTGAAGTTTCAAAGCTGTATTAAGCAATGTTCAGTTGTAAAATTTTGCAAGAACAACCATAACATTTTGTTCAGCGTTAAGAACATTTCAGAGATACAAACAACCTCCGTTCCTGAGGTGTTCCTAACTGAGGTTTTTCTGTAATATTTTCAAACGTGGCCATTGGAAAAGTGGGTTATGTTACTGACTGGCTTAACTCCATTAATGAGCAGATGTTTTGTCCCGGTATGTGCAAAACCTGCATGGATCTGTGTCCATTAGAACATACATCTTAGTGGTGCACAATTGACTATTGTCTTTCCTCCTGTATTGCAAGCACAGATCACAGTGATATGCTGGATGGTCTTCCAGGTTTGGGCTATTTCATGCCTCCAATGGAATTACCCCCTCTCTAGATACCATTCAATCAGGCTTTTATCCCTGGGCCTCAGAAAAATACTCCTGAAACGAAATGTTTTGTTTCCCCTGTGGAATGGATCAGATTATGCTGTGTATCTGGTATTTTCACAGACATTTCCACACTCACTCTCCATTCAGACGATTACGTCTCTTAAGAACCGTGCTGTGTTACCAACACCCTGCATGGGCTGGATTCTCAGCTAGGCTGAAGCGCTCTCCAGATCATTTGGGCCCTTGTGCAAACTTAGGGCAGCCTTAGGGCTGCTTTCAGTTGCACCTGATGGCAGCAGCTCCCCCTAGGGGCCATTCCAGCAGCTCTGATCACACCCTCTTTCCCTGCCCCATCCTCAACACAACTTTTCTCTGAGGGCCATGACGTGAGGTGGTGGTGATGGCATCAACCCCCCCCCACCCCCCACACACACACACGTCTCTGCTGGAGGTTGGGAATAGGTGGTAATTCTGACAGTCCCTGTCCTGGGAATTGGAAGGAGCCGGTGGCTGGTTGTGTGGGTAGAATATCCCTATGCTGGGGAAATTCCCAAGAAACTAGTTAAGTCAGCGTTATAACCCCTTCATGCTGCTGGAGCATGGAAAAGAGGTTGCATCACGGCTGAGATGCTGGCACAATGTCGTTTTCTAGTGCAAGGTACGTATGGGTCCAGTGAAGTGCATATACTGTCAGTTGGTTGGCTAACTGCCTCCCACCTTGCTTATGAGAGATTCCCCAACCCTCAGCTCCAGCCCTGGGAAATGGGATTCATCACAGATTAAAGGGGAAATGATTTGGAGCAACTCTTCTTTAAAATATTGGCGGTGCCTCTTTCCATGAAGTGACCTATCTAGACCCACAGGCTGGGCTGGGGGAGGGGGGAGCTATCCAAGTTCTTTTTTATTTCTTATCCCAAAGTTGTTTCAGCACGGAAGCTTCTCTCTCAAGTTGCAAATATAAATGTGCCGTGTCTCTCTATCAGAGCATCTGTTAAAATCCCATCCAAATCCCATGCAGCAGCCTTCTTCCATATTACAGGAGTCAAGTTTTAGTGTAACATTTCAGTTAAATTCCCCGTTCCAGCCCCCTGCTGCTCAACAGGGTAAAGTAATGATGACGCTGCCTCACTTCTTTCAAGTGACGCTTTTGAGGGTTTCATTTGCATCCTTTCATAAGGTAAACATCCTAATTGCTAGATAAGTCACCTGCATTTTGGAAAGGAAAGGAAAAAACAACACAGCAGCCTACGTGAGGGTATTCCCGGCTCTGTGCGCTGTTCCATTTTGATAAACCTTTGATGAGTTGATCATTCATTAGTCTTTGTTGGGAATGACATGCTGAAATTAGTGGAAGTGACCAGTGGCATATATAATAGTCAGTCTGTGAATAGCACAAACTTTAAATTGCTTTGTAGGTTTCAGTCCAAGTCCCAGTGGACACGTGTCCACATGGCAAAAAGAAAACCATCATTATTGACATCCTTCTGGGAAATTTCAGCTGAAATTCCAAGGACTGAATAGGCCAGTCTGAGTTACCCTAGCATCCCTGGAAATGGTTACTACAAGTCAGGCTTCAGGTCCATCGTCAAGGCAACGTGAAGACACTTGCATTGCTACCACCTGCACTGTGCCTATTCTTAGATGAACCATGAACTTCCATCTCTGGTCCGCTTGATGTGATTCTTTCTCCAATGCAAAGTTCACACACACAAATTTCATGAAGCAAGGACCACATCCTTGTAAATCGACGTAGATCATTTGGCTTCAATGGAGCTACCTCAGTGTACAGCAGCTGAGGATCTGAGCCTGAAAGTTTTAGAGCCACCTCTGCCCAGTTTATCAATATAGGACCGGTTATAAAGTCCAGAAGCTGAAAGGCACTATTCAATGTAAATGACCTTAAGCATAATAGGTAAAAATATGGAAGGACGATGGTTCATTTAAGCATGCGCTTAAGTGCTTTGCTAAACACGGGTGGATCACGGCCAACCGCACTGGTGTTAGAATGATGTACTCATCATATTGCGGTGCGAGGGGGTCTCATTGCTGTTCCTGAGAAGGGAACAGCAATTCAAAGGAAACGTTGGGAATGTCATGGAGCGGAGTTTGAGACATTGTTTTGAAACTCACTTGCCCCTCCCTTGGTCCATAGTAGCCCAAATTTGTTAACTGGCAGGTCCATAACAATGCCCATCTATCCCTCCTGTGCAAGGAGATGGGTAGCTCTGGGGTAGCAGAGTGTGTAGTACCTGATAGGGATGCTGTGGGCAAGGGGAGCTAGTTAAATTTTGTTGTGTCTAAGAAGTTGCTGAGGTCCTTTTTTGAGGCCAGTTTGGGTATTAGTATCTTTGTGAAAAGTGGTCAACCCTTTCGACGAGTGCCCTTTTACAGCAGAGTAGTACAAATGTAAACAAATCAATATTGGAGTATGGTTAGAGAATGATAAGGGGAGAGGATGACGAGGACATTTTCCTGCCTTGTACAGTTTTGTATGTGATGCCCAGGTGCCCATAGCCTTTGGGTGGATCCCTCAACTGTAGGCATATTCGACAATGATCAGCATAGCTCCAGTGGCTTCACTGAAGCTATGTCAATGTTTCTCTAACCAGCTGAGGCTCTTCCTCGCATTTGATTCTCACTCAGTTGGGATAACTGTATTATCTAGTTACAATGGCTAAAATCCACTGCAATATATTGTATTTGATTGACAACCTGATGCTGAAACTCCACGGTCTGTCAATGAGTTTATTCACAGCAAGTGTGCCATTGTATCCCCAGAGCGATTTCAATCTCTCCGCTTGTCGTTCTCGCCAAACCTGGATGAGTACAACCCAGATATCCCTGAATGGAGGCGGGACGTCAGTAGAGTGATCAAGAGAGCTCTAGTGGAGGTAAGCAATGGAATATGGTTTTTTTTATTCCTCCATCATCATTGTGTCTATCCTGGCCTTGATTTGAAGAGCAGAATGATCTGCCCAAAGTCTTCAAGGAACCAATAGATCTTGGAAAGAGAGAGAGAGAGGGAGACATATGATGAGATCTGTTGAAATACTATGCTCTACACCCCTGTTTTTTGTGTGGTTGAGCGTAATGTGGGTGGGCCTGATGGGCATAGGGCTTGCCTCTGGGAAGTATCACTACTTTTTTATTATAGGGGCCAAAGCAGAATACTTCAGAGGAAAGTGTATATAAGACCCAAGTTGCACCTATGTAATAACAATGCGAGCAGTTTTAACACTGCATAATAATGATTACTTCCCTTTGCTGCTGTCTGTATACAGCGGCAGAATGCAGAGCTGTCCCACGTGAATGCACAAAAAGGATGTTCCATATTTATGGGGCAGCAGTGAAAGTGTGTTTCTTCACATACAAAGGACAGGATTGTAAGTGCTTTGAGTCCAACATATAACATTAGCTACATGGTCCAGCCATGCAAGTGCATTTTACTCCACATACATCATTCTGGAGACATGGGCCAGTGCTGGAGATGCATTTTCCTCTACATACTTGCTGTACTGGAAACTATCAAGAGCTGTGGCCTAAAGAAATATTATTTGGGGCTGGAGATTAGGGTTTATAAAAGGCTGACAAATGTTACACCAGATAGTGGAGACTGCAAGTGCTGCTGTTGTAACCTACACACACTTCCTGGGTGTGATGTTGTGTCCCATCTAGTGGCACTGAGACCACTTCAAGAGAGAAATTAATGAGTCTGCTCTACAGCCTTAGCTAACAGTCATATGGCTTTTAGCTCATGCATTAGAGGCTCATGCACTAAGCTCCAGAGGTCATAGATTCAATCCTGCCCGCTGACGACTGGGGTGTCAGTGTTACACTGTGATACAGACTGAAGCAATGTAAAAGGGTCTGTGCAACTGATTTGTAGAAGTGTGTGTGTGAGAGAGAGAGAGAGAGTACATGCATGGAATGTGTACCCACAGGTATTGTGTTCCTGTGTGTGATGACAGTAACTGCATGCACAAATATCTGACTGCCACACCAGCCATTTGCACAGCTAGTGCCACAAATGATCAGACTGTCTTGCTGAAGGCACACACCACTTGTGAAAGTCCATTCTGGGGGCTGTATTTCTAAAAATCTGTCCCCGTCTTGCTTTTATCTTTAAAGTTATTTTCAATGAACAACAC